GAAAATTAAAAATCAACCATACCATCTCTATAGATGCGACCTATGTTTCAAAGTAGAACGTCATGACTTGATGATAATAACGAATAAATACAAAAGGGAAAATAACAGACAAGAATCACAAATTACACGTTCAAATGAACTTGTTAGTTTACAGGTATAATCTCGGAATAGAAAATGGCACATTATATTTCCTGTCATTTGCGAGTTATGAGTTAACGATATGAGCTATTGCAACGTTTGGATGACAAGCACGGTACAATGCAAAGGAGGAATTTAAGTGCTATTTTCTAATGCAAAACACCATACAGTAACGAATATTATTCAACAAGGCATATCGTTTATTATTATGTCTCGACATAATGGCAGGCCCGGATTTCTCAGTTACAATACTCAGATTGTATAAGAGACAATCGGCTCTCTTTTGCGCGGCTGGGTTCATTCTCGTTGATGAGCTGAAGTGGGTACTGTCCTTATAACATCATTGTTCATGTCTGCGCAATTTGTGCCTCCGCACACACTAATACTTTAGTGTCAGTTATTTAGCTATTGCATCGAAACTGCACTACATTCGCATTAGCGATCACTGCAGAATTGATAATGTAGGACTCCGTAGCGTTCGTGTTAGTGAGGAGTAGATTATTTGTACCTTGAGTTACCACACATCGTCAAAATCGCCGATCGTCGATGCTAAATGTGTCGTGTGTGCGGTGAACGATAGTGGCACAAGTATTATCGGCATTGGCAACGCTAAACGGGTCGACAAACAAGGCGTCGTGTTGTCGCCGCGGCGCAACTAGGCCGCCTTGTTAACGCTATTGTCTATGCCCTGTTTATGTTTCACACACGTACTGGCAAACATGACTGCTCGCCAAATACTCTGCTGATCTATCAACTCTATTTAAAAATTAAAATAAACGTCAAATTAATGATTAGAAATGAAATTTTCGTTCTGTAAGTATCATACTATTTGTAAGAAACATGTAGTATTCTATTTTTTCCCAATTAAACAGTAATTTATGTTTTCGAAACAGGCAAAACAAATTGCTAAAGCATTCTACTACAAATGATAATTTCGAAGATTAGGAACGCTTTGGTATACCGATGGTATCTATTGGCCGTGTGTAGTTTAAGTGCAATCTAAAAGTCATGGCGACTCGTCGCTAATAGCTGGCGGCGTAGTCGTCGGAACGCCGACGTGACTGCGAGGAAGGTTTGCCTTTCAAATATATACAATGTGGTAAATTTGTAACGCGGTACTATCCGTAACAGTTCACTGCAAATTGTTTGCAATATGCTTAATTTCTTTTATTAACATGGAATCAATAATTAATGATGACATTTAAAAACGAAAAATGATTCCATCACCGGTAATTGCTTATTCGGCCAAACAATTGAATTCAGCAAATTACATTTAATTTTTGTTGGTCTATCGAACGAGAAACATTAACCGTGATTTCGAAATGTATTGTTATTTAAAAACAATTTTTGTTTGTCGTTAAATGTATTCAGGGAAGAACAAGTAAGTGTTTCCGATTATGTAATAGTTGCAATTTATTATAAAAACACTACTGCATTGTATGTACAATACACACATGTATATACAATGTACAGATGTCTATTTCAGGGCAAGTGATAGTCTATAATGACAAAATTTTTGCCGACTATTTATTGCAGTATTTTCTGAGTGATGTATATAAACATTGTGTTGGACCACAATGATTATATGAAATCATAGTAATGTAACTGAATAATTGGGTACGAGCACGGGCCTATCTCATAAAGGGACTCTTTGAGCTAGCCTTTGAAAACTTTTAGCTTTAAATATCTCTATGAATTTCGAATGGTATATTTTTAAAGGACCTTATTAGTTGTTTAAGAAAAAACTTAGCGGGAAATAATTAGTTAATATTTTTTTATTAGTCAACCGTGACCATGGGACCTGTAAAGGGCCCGAAACGGTTTGTTTGAAAAAACAAATATGCGAGATTGAAATCCGGAAGAATAGTTTCATTTCCTATAATATTTTTTATCAGACATTTATGTGTGTCGGGCGTAATAGCGAAAAGATCTTAGAGCAATGATTTTCTATTTTTAAGCGTCTCCTCGAGATTGTGCCGCTCGACTTCAAAATGGTTTTGGGAGGGAAGCGCTTCATTTATGTACTGTGAGGCGATGGTATGCGGAATTTGAATGTGGAGGTGCTTCTTTGAATGATGTGGTTCGTGAAGGTCGTCCTTTAACAGCGACCAACGGAGAAAACGTGGCCACTGTGAAACGACTTATTGAAGAAAACCGACGTATCACTTATGAAACGCTTCAAGGACATCTGGTGATCGGTATGAGTCAGATTCAAAAAAAATTGTTGTCGCTGGAACCCCCATGACGTCAGAACAAAATCGGACTAGTGTTGATTGGTGCTCAAAAATGTTGCTTAACGTACTATCAGTTTATTCGAATGCTGTTTATGAAATCGTCACCGGAGACGTGGATTTATTGTATAGAAACAAGAAAAGACAGCGTTCTTGTGAATAGATGTTAGAAGGCGAACAAGGACCGACAAAATTGAAGCAGGCGTGGAATGTGGATAAAAAATTATTGCGTTTTTTTCCCTCACACGGGTCCCGTTTGGACAATACCACACTTGAGGATCAAGGGTGTGTCAGTGCTGAGTGGTACACCCCCATTTGTTTACCCCCTGTCCTAGAAGAAGTCCGAGAGATACGACCGAGAAGCCGCATTCTCTTGCACCATGTCAACGGTTCATCGCACACAGCCAACAAAACAAAATAATTTTTTAGGCTCCGAAAAAAAAAAGACTCCGAAGAAAAACTGCATCCTGCACATAGTCCGGACATTACACTCTTGTGATTTTTTATTTTTTCTAAAATCAAGGAATTGATGAGAGGTTTAATTTTTACAAACTCAGATGGAATAGTTATGATTTTCGATGAGCACGCGTAAAACACGACTCAGATCTGTTGCTCTTATGTTTTGAAAAATAGTTTGACCCAATGAAATAAACTTTTAAATTGTTGAAAAATAAAAAAAATATTTTGATTACAAATTGTTTTATTCGTAAGTTACACAAAACTTTCAGTGCGCCCTACGTGTAATGTATATACACAAATTCAAAATACGTAAGAAAAAATGTATAAGCTCTATCTCAACGTCAGGAGTTTCGAACAAAACAAGGACACTCGTGAAGGTCCGATCCGAAAGAATTCGTCCGGTACGCTGGAAAGTTCCACATACGAGTTTGTGCTCGGTGAACGAAATATTTACAGTAGTTGAAAGTCTCTCCTAAAAGCAAAATGGTTATGGCAGTTGATTGTGGCACCAGTAATGTGTTTGTATATAATATTGTGTTGAGGTAGCGTACGTGGGCGTTTACACGCTCGGAATGTGCCACCGCCGCACCGCCACCTTCGGCGCCGCCGAGCGCTACGTGTCACCCTGTGCATTGATTTCGAAGCGGCTTGGGTGCATTCCCAAAACGTGATGCTGCCTGAAACTGTTAATTCTGTAAATATCTGTCGAGATGTCTTCTATATAACATCCATAGTGACTGATTTAGAAGAATCACCTACACACTTGATATGGTATGAACTTGATATGATCAGTAAAATAAAGGAAAATTGTAAAAAAGGTACAAAGTTCTTGTATATTGGAAATTAAGTCAACTTATGTGCGTGTTCAGTTGATGAGAAAGTAAAGACCTCGGTTGGTACGCGGTGTACTCGGAGGTGACTGGTGCTGCCCTTGACAGAGCGGGTTTGCAGAGAGGCTGTGTCACTTATAACTGGTAAATACGAAACATTCTGATCTGTGGTTTCATACTATTTAGCCAGATCGCTCTTTTCTGTCAATAAATAACTATCATAGTGGTTGTGCTCGGCGCTGGCTTACCTATACAACTTTGATCTCGTTAGTTATTTTTGCATTATTCATTACCATCACTGATAATGATTTTAAACTTCACGAATTGTGATTTACATGGGCAGGCAGTTTTAATTAATTACTTATCGATACAATTGCAACATAAAGAAGATAGTTAAGCGACAGTTTGTCACTAGATGCCAATGTCAAGTGCGTGTTTATCGCCTACGTATTAGCGCCGTGGTGCGCTATTTTTACGAGTCAGACAGATGTGGGCCGGCCGGGGCGACCCCATTACCGTGGCTGCAGTCATTAAAGGTCGCCGTAAACAAATATATGTATAGGTGGGCGCGTATGGCGCGCTGTTATCTATGATTCACCGGCGCCCCGCCGTCTGCCGACCGTCTGATCGCACCAGCATAATATAATGGCCCGATAATAGCGCGCTTATGAGACTAAAATAACGACCCTTCATCGTGTCTCCATTGATCCCTTTGTTGCACTGAAACTGATTGTAAAGGCGTGCTCGCAACGGATGCATACGCGTGTGACGTTCAATTAGACACTTGACACGTAACACCGACATAATCGTGTAACTCCGAATTGACCTATATAGGAGCCTGCAATACCACTTTCGACATCGCAAATCATTGCCGCTCGTATCTCGGCCTCGGTCAATGCATTGCGTGTATGTCGTATGCACATATACGGATGCAATAAAGTACATCGAGAATTCGCAAGCTAGCGGTGTATGCTACCCACGTGCCGACGGAAATCGAAAGTGATCCGGGCATCTCTCCGCCCCCGATTGATGCGCTTGTGGCTTAGGCGAGTTACTCGTGTTATTCAAATCGATGACACGCCGTACGACGCCGCCGTCGATACACGCAAATGTTTGCATCTGCTCACTCTCGGTTTAATGAAGTTTACTATTACTACTTCACCCCCTAAACAAGGTTACTACGGTTTATACTGAAACGGGATCTAAATAAGCGTATAACACATGCTTACCGTGTTTATGAGATTTTACTTTTTCTTTGTTTTGCCTCAGAGTTATAATCGTTTGTAAAGTTTAATCTGGCCCGTATGTACTCTATTCTTAACGTGATGTTGTGTTGTTGCAGGCACTCAGAACGTACCGATGCCACCGCGAACGTCGTCGTCGCTGCCGGATGGCAGCGGTGGTGCGCCGCGGGGCGGCGCGGGCGGTGGGCCTCCGGGACCTGCACCAAGTCCGGTGCCTCCACCCGGATCTATGGTCGCTCAACCCTACGGCCATCATCCCGCATACAAGCAACAGCACTACCCGCCGCCGCAGTCCTATGCCTACCCGCCACGAAATCCTCACCCGTACCATCCTTCTTACGGATCGTACCGCCCGCCACCACCACATCCTCCGCAACACTATCCACCGCTCAAGGTGAGTCCTTTAATTACAAGTCAAAACTACATTAGAAGTCTGGAACGAATGTTTGAAGATTTTATGCGTGTTTACAGCAGCAAGGCCGACACATGGGTCCACCTGGACAAGGAGTGCAAGATGGTGCGATGCCGCCGCCGACGGCGCCCGGCGAATCGCACGACAACGGGCCCGCGGCACCCGCCACTGCGCTTGTCACCACCGGTCCTGACGGTGCGCCGCTCGACGAGGGCAGCCAACAAAGTACCCTTAGCAACGCATCCGCAGGTACTATCATCACACGTTACATGAATAATAGTCTGCTGTTAACCGATGTCGCGCTACATGTGTTTTAATTACAGCGTCAGGAGAAGAGCCGTGCGGCACACCGAAAGGCCGCAAAGACTATGGCCCTGGCAGTGCTGCACCGTCGCCCTCACCAGGTGGAGGGTCGCACTCTTCGGTACCAGACGATTACGACGCGTCGCCGTCCTCATGGCCCCGTCCGCCCTCTAGTCCCGTGAGTCATTACTATTATTCGATCACATCATTCGCAATTTTTAAATTCTGATAACGCTATACCCACTTTTTGAGTTACATTAGAACAACATTCTTAGACTTAAGTTTTTTGTCATGATAATTGACAGTGCTTCCGACAAATACCCTAAAATTGGTAAAGTAATAATGCACTCACAGGCAAACCACTACATTGTTTAAAACGCTTTTACAAAACTACGTACAACACTAAACATTTTGTCGATTGTTTCAAACCACTCTTGATGTACTTTTTGCAAAAGACATTTTAACTTAATTAACCGTGTGAGTTACGAAGCTTAAATCGCGAATACTCGTCTAGATTAAGCAATTCTTACAAGTTTCTTATTAACGTTTACGAGAGTCAAACAGAAGTACTGCATTTTATGTATCATATATTTCAGGTATTTAACAGTCACATGCCACCGGAGTCCTACAGATCAAAGGTTTATATCAATGATCATTAGCATGTGTAGTGCTCGGTTCAATGAACAAATTTTACTATATTTAACCCGCGTTAAAATGCATGGTAGACTCATATTATCTTCTTTCTGCATATTCGACATGCATTATGTTACTGCAACTACTAAAATAAACAAAATAAGCATCGCCAGGTATAATGATGTACAACATGAACGACAGTCGATCGTTCGGCGTCGAGCTTTAGCTTTTTAAATACATTATTAAAAAGTTGTATCTCTGCTTTACGCTAAATCAATTCTTTTACGGTGTTGGCCTGTCGCTTCCTTAAATAATCGATATAACTTGTGCATTTTACAGAAATGTGCATTAAACAGACTTCGATTTCTTACGACCATTGACAGTCGTGGTCTGTAAACACGAACGCTCGATCGTACCTCATATTTCGTTACAGCATGTGACTATTCTTTTGAGTTTTTAGTAGTAATTGCGAATATTACGGGGGACATTGGCCACATTGAGGTTTTACTTACATTTATTTAAAATTTTTGGTGTGGCTTGTCGTTTTCATTTATTAGTAAGGCTATTCGGCCGGTAGTGAGAGCATGATCGTAGTTGCCGTTCACACACATTTTCGATATTTGCACTTTTCACCAACAGTATTCACTAGATAAGAGACTTGTAATAACAAGGATATTTGAAATTTGACTATATGATTTATTTCTTAAATCTAAACTTTACTTACAAGTCCTATATTTTGATAAAATGTGTTTCCATTTGACTATTTTTTTTTGTAACTATTGATGAAGTTCTGTTTTCAGACTGTATTATTCAGCTGTGCTAATTTGGTAACGCGAATGTGTAATGGGACCTTTTATTAACTTGCAGGTGGGGACGGGGGATGGATAATGTGTAAAAATGTGCCGATAGTCCGTTTCATTGAATATACCCATGTAGTCAATCAAACGAACTTTCGATGTTATTATTTTATATTCTTGTTGCTATCGTGCGATTAGGTTGTACTGCTAAGCGAATTATTTCCAGCGCACTCGCGTGTACTTTGCGTTTGACAGCCACGCCTACTGGACTGGAAAAGTACCTGGAAAGGGTGACTAGCGGGTCAGTATGGTGGAATTCGCGGTCTAGTGCACATGGAGCTGGCCCCTCCAAGTTTGCTCGGCAGCTAATTCCAACTAGATCCAATTAATCGCCTGGGTACTTTGAAAGTTGAAGTGGTGGACTGGCTGGCACTGGCAGCCGGTAAGGATGGCTCCTCGTGTCCCTCGGAGGAAAGAGGCGTTTCTAAATATGTGGGTGTTTGATGAGGTGTCTCTGCGCCAGAAGTCGGACTCGCTGGGCAAGCTGTACGAGATGGACGACGACCCGGAGAGGCGCGGCTGGGTGGAGCGGCTGCTGGCGTTCATGGAAGAGCGGCGAACGCCTATCGCCGCCTGCCCGACTATCAGCAAACAACCGCTCGACCTCTACAGACTTTACCTGCTCGTGCGCGACCGCGGCGGTTTCGTCGAGGTACTATCGCTATTTTGATTTTTTTAGATTGATTATTCCTCATTGCTTTAAGAAAACGGTGCTCCTTGGTGTTTGTTTACATTCAGTATAAATGCGTCTGTTGTCAGTATCAACTATTGCTTTTTCGTGAAATTTGAATTATTTAAGAAATGCACTCAAATGATTTTGTGTTCATTTAGCACTTCAATTCGTAGCGGGCTCAATATTACAAATTGGATTCTGTTTGCCGCAGTAAAGTTAAGAAATAGGTAAATCCGGAGAACTAAATGTGATTCAATTTAGTTTTACAGTTGTACACGAATGCGTTTGTACTCTTGAAAATGGCATTAGGAGTGCCAATAAATGCCAGTTAAGCGCGCGGTACGTTCAATGCAACTGAGACTAATAGACTTCAGCTAGAATTTATGTTAGTGCATGTACTAGGCTTTACGAGAACACGAACCATAAACCGCGCGCGGCCAAGACAGTTAATAAATTTTTATCATTGAGCGGTGGTGCGCGGTGCGCCGGGGCAGATTGCAGCCGGGCTCCGCGCGCGGCGCACGCTCGCCGCCGCGCGCACGTTACAGGAAAATTATTGGAAAATCGCCGGCATGGTGAGGTCGTCCACTCGTTAACACGCGGACTTATCGCGTTTTCCACTGTAAACCTTCGCACTTTATGCTCTCGCGCGTTAAAACGTCCACTCGCCGTCCGTTGTTAACTCAATAATACTTTAAATTCCTGTAATAAAACCCGTACGTTTGAACGCTTCTGGATTCTTTTGTTTTATTTCCAAACAATACGTCTAGTGTATTCAATTTAAAAGATGTTAATTTTTATCGTGCCTTCTTCCGTTGTATTAGCCACCATTGACACGTAATTTTGTGAAATAAAACGGTGACACTACAATAACTGGAGCGCGCTAATAATTCCAGGTGACGAAGAACAAAACGTGGAAAGATATCGCCGGACTCCTGGGCATCGGCGCATCGTCATCCGCCGCATACACTCTGCGCAAGCACTACACGAAGAACCTACTCGCGTATGAGTGCCACTTCGACCGCGGCGGAATCGACCCCCAGCCCATTATCAACCAGGTTGAAGCATCAACAAAGAAGAAAGGCGGCAAGTCCAACAGCAACCCTAGCACAGGTCAGCTATCTGTACTCTATGAAATCCACGCAAGTCTCTTTATGGAACACTCATGTCAGAGATCGAACCCGCACCAGGTCAGCTCACTTCCTCGCAACTAGCTACGTCGTATTTGAACGACTATTTCTACAAAATATGTACATACATAATCAACTAAGCTAGCTGGCGCTCGCTTCTTTGTGTGCTCCCGTTTCATTTAAAGCTCCATTTAAAATACCCTTAGGCTTCGAAATAAATAAAATTATAACTTATTGGACAAGCGTTACAAAATAATTTCAATGATTGAAATATATTTTCAGCGGGAGCATCCAACTCGCAAGAGTCGTTTCCAGGCGGAGGGCAGGCGGCGCCCGGCCAGCCCATGGACGGGTACCCGGGACAGTACGCACCCTACCCGCCACAGCCCAACCAACCACAAGGTAAGCTATCACGAAACATGTGTACCAACTTACTACGTACTGTTATGGGGAGTGCGCAGGTTCCGATATAAGAGCCTTTTGGCATAAAATTTATAGAAAATGAGTGTTGAATCAGTTGCATACACCTCCACCATATTAAATTCAATGGGCCACATTTCATTACACCAAGTGAATACTAGAATCTAGAATACGTACGATACGATATCAGTCACGTACAACTGTGGTGGTGTTCGAAACTGGGGTAATCAAGTAAACTGGGGAACCTACCGTATGTCTAACGCGCACAGCGATTTGATTAGCTAAGCGATTGTGCTGCAGCAATCGCGAATTAGTTTATCGCAGACTTGTGTGCTTTACTACTTTGAACACTATCGTTTTGCGCGATGGACCGTTTTACAGTTTTTCCCAAGTGGCTGTTTTTTTCCTCCTATAAATATTAAAATGTCTTTTCCAAAATACTTACATTTTAATTTTCATTATAATTTTCGTAAACATCACGACGGTGGCGGTGCATACGAACCAAAAGAAAAGAGCTTTAACTTTCGGAACTTTATTAGGTTGTGCGCACTTCCTACATAACTTCAGTTCCTCTGTATAGAGTGGAAGACTACCGTTAGTACTACCCTAGCGGCACTAAAGAACAATGCACAGATTTCGTACTCGCCTGAGCAACAAGTACTTGTGGCTGACTGTAAAATTATTTCGTCATGTCTTTAGCGCTTGGAAATAGTTAAACGCGCTGCTAAAGAATGTTTCGAGTAATTTGACATAGTTAACATTTACGTTGTTGCGAGCGTGGTGGCTGCGCTGTAAATGAGCTAACATAGAGCTAGATGAGACCGGGCGGTTGGCTCGTGTGCCAAAGACAACACGCGACGCTAGCCGTGCGGCGCTTGTTTTTTTATTTTTCATGCAACATCTGAGCTAACTTCTCTTTAACAATTTTCAATCGTTAACAAATCTTTCGGGTCATACATAACATTGCTTTTGACTAATTCCGTATTGACTCGTATCAGGGAGGAAGCCACTGTTGTTGCTTAAACGAGCTAGCTATACATAAAACACGTGGTAACTTCCTTCCCTGACACGTGTGGGTGACATAGCGCTTGTTCGGCACGCAACACGTGTGAATAGAAAGGCTCGTCGGCTTTTCTAATTGAAAAGATCGATTTGCTGGTACACACAACAGTGTGTCGTGACTGGAGATGCGCCGATGTACAGGCAGTTTCGGGTTTTACCTAGTGACGTAAATGTGGTTGTAGGCGGCGGGCCGGGTGGCGACAACCTCGCCGCCTCCAACCCGTTCGACGAGCCGCCGGGGCCCCGGAGACCCCCAGGTACTTAACTCTTCACAGTTTGTATTACACACTTTTAGTGTTGCGTTTGGTCCAACTGAGATCGCATTCGGCCGGATGCAATCCGTTATTACTATCCTTACTGTACAAATTCTGATCAATTTTGTTTGCGTGATTGTTTTATCCGTTGAATTCGGTCTCGTATAATTTGGATTGATTGTAACGTCTCCTTTTAACTTACCTTCCGACTGCCCCCGGATCCCAGTTTTGTTTATTACGGCGTCTTCTTATGATTTGCTATGTTTTATCTATTTAGTACTCAGTTTTCTTTATTATTCCATGTACATATTGCATGTTCACATGTTTTGATAACATTCACATTAACCATTGCACGAATATCACCTCTATAGTTTCTGAGAGTTCTGTTTTCTTCACTCAAATGTATGAGTTTTTTATTCATAAATGACATGTCGGTCTTCCAGGTTACCAGCAAGGCTACGGGTACGAATATGGGTCTCCATACCCAACCAATAGACCAGTTTATCCTCCATACGGATCGGACGGCGGTGACAGGTAACATATTTTTCTTGTTTATAAATAAATACTTCAATCCTTGTTTTTTTACTTATCATTGCTTTCCAAGCATTGCGTTCTCTGAAGTTTAATGTTTGTGATGTACATTGCAGAGGGTACGGTTCAGGCGGGGAATACCGTTACGGCGGGTACGGCGGCGGATACCGCGCGGGCGCGCCGCCGCCGCCCGGTACACCGCCACCGCCAGCGCAGCCTTACCCCGACTACTACCGACCGCCTCACCCGCCGCATCCACCTCATCCACCGCACCCGCAACATCCACCACATCCGCCACACTCGCCGCAGCAACCTCCGCACGAGGTAAGTGCGCCAACAACGTCCTATTGACTTCAAGTGAAATGAAAATTCAGAACGATATTACTCATCAATATAATGACAAGCAAACATTTGCGTTAATACGTATGACGTTAGGACCATGAGTAGGTCAGTAAAGAATTGGCTCCTCGTTGTCTATTGAATATGGAAGTGTTCAAACAGCGGCACAATTGTAAGTCTACCTGAACTCCTGCAACTAAAACATACATTTCGTATTGTTTTATAAAATGTGTTAGTATTTGCTCTTCGAGTGATGTAAATTTGACGAAAGTAGTAGATAAGGAATGAATGAATAGTTCAAAATGTTTCTAAATGAAAATTTGGAATGTCTATTGTAGTGCTACTAGCCTGACAATAGTATTTACAGCCGCGCATGACTGGCATGAGACGAGCATATTACTGTGTATGTACGCGATACTATGCTTACGTGGCCCTGTAACAAAAATGGGAGCTGATCACATTTTTATAATAAAGTTTTGAAGACTCAATTTCGAACATATCATTTGAAGCAAAGTTCCCAGCACCCATTTTCCTATAGTGCTACATGTAGACAACGTTCCTTGAGTAACTAACAAATTTTATTTCGATTGTAGTATTTATTTATTGTCTGACATAGCATTGAATGATTATTACTTACTGTTCATTAATTTATAGAACGTTTTTCAACTGAAAATTATCGTGATCATAAAATGATAATGAAACTCGCAGAATGGTTTACATATCATGCCTTTCTACTTTAAAGAATATAGTAAAGTTATTTGAAGAGATTTTGATTAATATTAAATAGATATGAACTCAATTTACAGCATACACTATAATCAATTATTTAGTATATTATATATCGAGTTCTTAGGTTTTCGCGATTGTTACACATAGGGAATGAAACTATTTTCCGGATTTAAATCGCGTATATTTGTTTTTTTCAAAGGTTTGTTGTTTAATTTAAATCCGGAAAATAGTTTAATTTCCTATTAGTATGTTATACCGTTTCAAATGTTACTTCTGGTGTACCACCCTAACGGATATTAGTGTAGCTTTGTTACAGTTGTTAAAGAAACGTTAGCATGACATGTGATCCCTGCGGCAAGAGAGTATTAGGAGAAAGTCGTGTTATGTTGTGTGACGGTCTGTTTGGTGGTGTATAGATGTCGAGCGTCGCGTCGTCTGTCGGTAACCTAATGAGCTCCCAGCTCGCGCGGCAGCTGGTGGCGCCACTGCCGCCCAACCCTCGGCCCTACGTACGGACGCCCCGTTTGTACCACGCACTCAACACCGCTTCCCCATATATTGGCGATTCGGTTTCATTACTCACTCGCACGGACTTCACGAACGTTCGCGTCGATTTTCGCGTATACATGAAACGCCGCGAATATATTGCGAACTGACTAACGCTGTGACAGGTTGTTAACATGAGTTATTACAGTTTCTAGTTAATGAGGATTGTCTTGCCGGCGTGCAAGTTTTAGTTAAATTAGAATTAGTTGGATTAGTCCAAGAATGAGTTATTTCGTAAAACTAATATCCAAAACTCGAATTGTCAGTTTCCCATAAAAGTTTTTAGTGTCAAACTTTCACGATGTGTTTAAAACCTGGACTCTGTAATTTTGAATCAAACAGGATACAACTTTATGGTAATTTTTCAAATCAATAAGTAATCGTTTTAAATAATTGGTACTTAAATTAACTCCATGTTCAATTTTCTAATAAAAACTTACAACATACTTTCCGATACAGGGCAAATGTAAAAATACGAATGAGGGATATTGTAAACAATTTAGTAACGACCACCAAAAATTATGACACTAACAAGTGTGACGAGAAGATACTCTGTTTTTGCACTTTGAACAACGTACAAATCTGATCCAAATTCGAGATGTCTCTGAAAGTATTGGAGAAAAAGAGGAGATAAACAAAATATGCATTCAAAATAATGACGCTACCGGTGGAAAACATAAATAGTGACACGTCTACCTTGTTGTAGGAATTTGCATCACGCTATGTAATACATAAATCAGGCGCGCAAATGTTAATTGCGCTTGCATAGCCTGGAAAGACTATCCTTGTTAGCATTTATATTCTAGTCGTACCCCGCGGTGTAAAGAAATAATTATTCAAATACAGCGAAGGCACTTGTTACAGCTTTATAATTATTGATATTTTCGCGAGCGATTCTGTAAGTGATTTGAACCATTCATCATTTGTAGGCAATAAAATAGATTTAACGCTCGAAAGGGTGAAGTTTAAATGTGCATTCAAATGTGTTATTGTGAAACCACAGCTTTAAAACTCAGCAGTCATGATCATTTGATGATTGGTTTTTATTCAAGAGCGATCGTCGACACGGAGGTCAAACTCATTCGTGGTTTTGGCTTCATTTATTATTTGGAATAATACCACTAGCTTGACAAAATTTTTAGCTATCACATAATTTTATTCTTCTTTTTTTTTTGAACTAAATTTTTGGCTTGCGGTGTTATTAATTGGCTTTCCAACATATCGGATTACGCGTGCTCAGCGCTCCGGCCGGCCAAAACCTGTCCGTTAGCCGTTTCCAAATTTAACAAATAATCAAAACATGGAAGTAAAGGTTTAGAGTGTGTGGTGGTGGCTATGATAAAATTTGTCACTAAATTCATTTGCATGCTTTCACAGTTATCACGTAAGCTTAGCTGTAAGTATAACGGAGAAGCTTTGTTTTATATTGCGGCACTCTCGATCGAATGCACCACTTGGCTATAATCTGTGCTCTCACGCACTACCGGAATAGCTGGCGCTTCATTCGATCGATTTTACGTTCTCTCCTATCATCCTTTGTGATTACACACTTTGGGTTCACGGCCAGTGTAACAATTTATCGTCGCTTTTTATGATTAATATTGGATCTTGAAAAACTGTTGATGCATTTTTTAGAGGGATTCTTGTTCTAACTCTAATACAGAATATCTTAGCTATTACTCTTTATTAGTGCATCAACATCTCATCAGTCCGAATTGTCGGTCCGACAATGAATGTTCACTCCTCAAGATTTTACTTTTGTAGTAGTAGTTTTATTGAATTTTTGTACCAAAATAACTCTTGAATTTTTGGACTGATTAATTCAGAGTGTGAGATTCGGATCCGCTTATCGTCTTTCTTGGATAAATGTTGATACGCTTGTGTGGCGTTCCACAGTATGGCGGCGGGAAGCCTCCAGTGCCGGTTGCTACGAATGCGGGTACTCCTCGACGGCATCCCGATTTTGCAAAAGCAGAAGGTTATGCTGGTCCTGTGCCAGGGGTACCGAACACGGGATCTCCGCAGAGTGTCGGCGCACGGTTCGGCGGCGCGTGGGGTAACGCATTCCCGCGTGGACCGCAGACGCAATCGCCCACCGCTCCTTGGCGTCCACCTTCCGGCGCCGCGCAGCAAACTGGATGGCCGCCTCAGCCTTATCAACAGGTACAGTAATCGTTTCTTATATCTGTCAGTCCGTAAGTACGTAAGGAAATAAATTAGCTTCATCTTCATTTGCATGCTTTCACATGAGATTGTCCGACCGTTTTGTTTTGTAGTTTTTCTCATAATTATTGATTCATATCTTCATAAAAACATAACTAAACAATAACACTGCACTTGTCGCCGTACATAGATGAAATTATACAGAGTGGGTAGATATGAAAGTAGACAGAGTGGTCGACGTTTAGCGTTGTGACGCTATAGGCGGGTCGTATGTTATAGGGGCCGGGTGCGACAGCTTGGGGCGCGCGACCGCCGGGCACGGAGCCCTACCCGCCCTCCACTGCGCCCTCGCCTGTAAGTTTCATGAACTCGTACACTCATTTGCACACTTGTTTAGTGAAACTCATACAAAACGACTCACAAAACACATCAATGGCGCATTGTGGTCATCTACAGGACGTCTCATTAAGTGTAGATTTATTGTTGGATCTGTTTTATGGCAGACTTTTATTTTGCACCACTTTGCACAGCGTACAATTATTTCTTGGTTCTGAATAAAATATGTTTAACAAAACGTTTTGTTGTCGCAGAATTCGGCGCCTGTTGGTCCCGGGCAGATAAAGCGCGAGCTGAACTTCCCCGCGGAGTGTGTGGAAGCGGCCGTTCCCACTGGCGAGAAGCGCCGCCGACTCACCAAAGCGGACGTGGCTCCTGTCGACGCGTGGCGTATCATGATGGCTCTGAAGTCCGGTCTTCTCGCCGAGACGTGCTGGGCTCTCGACATTCTCAATATCCTTCTTTTCGATGACAACTGCATCGGCTACTTCGGTCTACAGCACATGCCCGGTCTATTGGACTTATTACTCGAACATTTCCAAAAGAGTCTCAGCGATATATTTGACGCTGCCACACAAGAAAACGAGCCATGGTATATTCCGCCGCCTACTGTCGAACCTGTAGAGAAAAAGCGCCAGAAAATCGAACCACCCGATCCCGCTGACAGAGTCACAATACTTTCTGGCGAGAATTTCACAATGGAATCTAGGCGACGACATCCTGTCATCTACCGCCAAGACGATGAACTGTTTGCTCCTGATGACTGTGAATCTGATACGGAGCGAGTAGAAGATGTGTTAGAACCGTGGCAGTTTGGTGGGGACTCGAGTGGCGCAGCTCATGTGATGCCGTGCTTCCGTGGCGAGTTCGTGCATTTACCATTTGTGAAAGTTATGCCAGGCGAAAGAGCACCATCTCCTCCTCCGACGCCAACGGTCAACAGCGTAGAATCGCCACGGACAGTCAAAACAGAGCCCGAAGCGCCCGAACCGGCATCAACAGAAACGACGAAAGACGGTGAAGATGAAGACAACCTAGAGGCGGAACCGATGGAGCTAGAGCCCGAGCGGCGACCTACATTACTCATACGAGATCCCGCAGGTGTACTGAAACGACGTCGTCTAGAAGATTACGAAGACGAGTGTTACACGCGTGACGAACCAAGCCTCAATTTAGTGAACGAGTCTCGTGAAGCTCTCGCAAAGCGTTGCATAGCGTTATCGAATATACTTCGCGGATTGACATTCGTGCCTGGTAATGAAGTGGAATTTTCGCGGTCCAGTGCGTTCCTTGCTCTGACTGGCAAGCTGCTGTTACTGCATCACGAGCACGCGCCGCGCGCGGCGAGAGCGCGGGCTTACGAGCGAGCGGCTAAGGACGAAGGCGACGCGGACGCGTGCTGTTCCAGTCTACGCGGCGAGAGCGAGTGGTGGTGGGATGCACTCGCTCAGCTGAGAGAGGATGCCTTAGTATGCTGCGCTAACATCGCGGGCGGCGTGGAGCTTGCTGGGCAACCCGAAGCTGTCGCGCGACCGCTCTTAGATGGGCTACTGCATTGGAGCGTGTGTCCCGCTGCGGTGGCGGGAGACGCGCCGCCTGCAGCCGGTGCTTCCTCTCCTTTATCTCCACGTCGATTAGCCCTAGAAGCGCTGTGTAAGCTCTGTGTTACGGACGCTAATGTAGACCTCGTGCTGGCGACGCCTCCGCGCGGTAGAATCGCAGCGTTGTGTGCGGGCCTCGCCCGGGACCTATGCCGACCCGAGCGGCCGGTAGTGCGTGAGTTTGCTGTCAATTTACTGCATTATTTAGCGGGCGCGGGCGGATCCGCAGCTCGAGAAGTAGCAATGCATGCGCCGGCTGTAGCGCAGCTGGTGGCGTTCATCGAGCGCGCTGAGCAGACCGCCCTCAGCGTGGCCAACCAGCACGGCGTGACAGCGCTGCGCGACAACCCCGATGCGATGGGCACGTCGCTGGACATGTTGCGGCGTGCGGCCGCGACGTTGCTGCGTCTCGCCGAGCATCCCGAGAACCGGCCGCTAATCCGCCGGCATGAGCGGCGTCTGCTTTCACTGGTGATGTCGCAAATCCTCGACCAGAAAGTGGCGCACGAGCTGGCCGACGTGCTGTACCAGTGCAGCCTGGCGGCCGGCGAGGCGGACGCGGTCGGGACGGACGAATAGTGGTGGAGTGACAGTGAAAGCGGTGACGAGGCGGACGCTCGGGCGCCGCGCGATGAGACTGAACATACCTGACGGTACGTGTACATATAGTGATACGGCGCGCCCCGGACGCGGCGCACTCCCCGTTCTCGTGACTCCGAGATCATTTATAGCGATGTCTCAAGTGTTAGGCTGTACAATCCGATTTTGTTATTTATGTCCATGATGTTTTATTTACAATTTTACAAGAAATGTCAATGTGCTATAATCGATTTCTATTGTTCGATTGAGAAGATGTATTATAACTCGTAATTTTGATTTTTATAATAAAATGGGACTTGAATCTGTTTATTGGTTTTATGATGGAGATTTTTATACCGAGTACCTTTAGCGCCTTTGTCTTTAAGAGAAGTAGTGGAGAGTGTGAGGAGCTTATGTGGGCTATAAGTTAATTAAGTTTAATGTGAATTATTACAATAATCTATAATATATTGACATTGAATCTGAATTTTATTTATTATTTTACTAATTGGCATTTTATGATTTCACCTACAATTCAAAATTCCATTATAGAAATTATGTAGGGCAATTCTAAAAGTTATCACGAAACAAAAATACATCTTAGGGGCTAATACATGAACCTAGAAATAAAAATATCCTAAATGGTACATCGGTAGTCATTGAACATTTTTATATGGGATTTATTAAAAATATTGCTATTAGTAATTCTAGTTGTAACGGATGTTATGAATATAAAATTGCAAAGCGAATTATGATTATTAATGTATTGAGGTGTGACCGAAGATAATGCTTTTCCTTCTGTGACACGTCATACAGGTGATATTGTTGACTGCTGGAGATGACAATGGAAACACATTGTGGCCACTTAAAGAACAGGACACAAAATTATGAAAAACTGGTTGCCGTTTAAATCTTAATAAATAATTGTAATCAGAATAATGTATACAGTTACTTGCAGACCTAGGAAACTAGGGAGTAGTCGCACATAGTTAAACAACTAAAAGGATTTCCATTCGGTTATTGATAATATTATATATTTAATATCCAATATAACCTAATTAATTTTCAACTGAAGTTCCTGTTGGATATTATAATTATGAAGAATCGTTACCTTTACGCACTAGGCAATAGTGAAATCACCAATTCACCAAACATTTGCCTTGGGAGTGTTTACTTTCGCAGCAATATTTTTATTCGAGACTCTGTGAGTTTCGAGATTGCCGAATGCTTCTAAGAATGGCAAAGTCAAAACATGAAAAAGGCTTGGCTCTTAATTTGGTAACATTGTGACTATACTGCGCTGAGTATCTCCTGTTTATTGTCGTTACTAAGCCATCGACAAAAACTACAACAATCCAGTGAGAAATATATTCATATGTAACTTTTTTATAAAACAAAATTGACCTCAAAAGTTCGTGGAATTACATCTATTTGCCAAGTTTTATTGGAATCGGAAAAAATCCTTCAATTTAAATGGGATCCATACTGAGGTACCAGGTTTCCAACAAAAAAAAGAATCACCAAATGCCTGTAAGCACTACAGAAAAAAAAACACTCGACTTGCGAATCTCCTCCTTTTTTCCTTTGTTTAATGTCGCTTAAAAAAGTACAGTAAACCAATCTTTGGCATTATTCACTTTTGCAGTAATTATACAAAAACGTTACATAATTATGACGTTAACAAAGTCGACGAATTCAGTCGCGTTTTTGTTTATTTTTAATACTCGTATATCTTTCCTTAGGAATAACCTATTCAATCACTGACTCGTTTTCAAGTTTTAGACGGATTACATGGACTTGGAATATTGTTGTGCTACAAAATGGGGTATGTAAAATAAGTGATATTTAATTTAGTACATAATTGTTGAAAAATCGTCGGACGCATCTTTCCCATTTTGCTGCACTAAATGTAGTTTTTATGCAAATATCGCTACCGCGAAAGCCTGCTAAGCGAATTTTCGTTACAACTTTGTTACATAATTACACTACATCTAGGTCCATGGATTTGCCTCTGTTCTTAGGTCATAATCACAAATTGCAAAAAGTATAAACAAGCCTTATTTGCATATTACGTGTATGTAGTATACATACATTGCTCGTAGTTCCGAACAATTACGTCTTTAAACGTTACTCCCTGCGCGCATCATATTATTTTAAGGTATGTACAAGCTTGTTATGTCACGTGTATTAGTAAGCTTTAACTCCTGCTGAATGTTTCATAGAAACAAATTCTGTAGACAGGATATTTTGCAATGCGCAGAAGACGTGAATGTCAATTTCATAAGTAAGTAATAGAGATATGTTTATATATCAAAGGCGAGCGCAATCATTGTGCAAAGAAAATGTTAAAAGTACCCTTTGCCCTCGGGGAAATGTCTTCCTTTTGGATCTCGTTATTATTGTTTTTCTTTTTTTTTTCGTTTATCGTTAAATTTTATCGTCGAAAAAGATATACGTAACATTAAATAAAAGCATTATAAAAGTTTACCAAAAACAATGACATACCCAATTTTAAGTTAATGTCACGCCAGCAATCATGTTATCGTCATTATCCGTTTCTAGTGACGCAGAATTTTGTGATCAACAATGTACTGGATGGTATAAGGGTCATATGGAAATTGCCGCTGTGGACATTCAGATGAATCATAGAATGTAGAGCCTCATCCGCGCTACCCAAAGGTCAATGCCTTATAAAGAATCATCGCGTCGTTGATAGAATTAAAATATTTAGTCGTAAACAATTTTTTTTACTATTATTTTGGTTTACTAAACAAAGTTTATCATCTTACAAAAGCTAGACAAAGGGAGATTTTTCATAGTCCTAGCGACTGTACAATTGGACTTTGTTTGACGTGACTATATAATGAATTTAGCTCTTAAGTAACAAAATAAAATTTGTGAGGCGCCAGTCTTGGTGCCCGGTCAGTTGCAGGTTTTTGGTTGTGAACATTGCTAATTCAAATTACGACACTTAATGTTATGCATGAATCGCTCGTTGGTAGATATTTCACGATTATCATCGTCGGTAAGAGAGGCGTCCCTTATTTCAGCGTAATCATGAAATTGTATTAATTAGGTAATAGTGTCCTTTTAGTCAAGCGAAAAACTTAATTTAGTCCTTACGCCGTTCAAACATTATAAGGATGTTTTACTGTCCACGCTTGAATAAGCTTGCTCCAGTGGCGGCACTATTCCTCAACCTCGAGAACCACAGTACCTACCTTAGATCTGATTGTACTAAAAAAATCGCGATTTAGTACGGTGTTTCTCGTAAAAAACTGGTTTTGTTCGCCAGTAGTTACGCCGTTTTGAAGTTAGCCCGTAAAAGCAAATTCCCGAAGTTTGTGCCATTCACCACGGTACTATGCTAGCCGCATCCATTGACTCCCCGCGACGCGTACTATGTCGTCGGCCCTCTTTGCAATAGGGCACGCGACGCTTCTTTGGCCCATCCACGGCCACCAATCAGTCGACGTCTTGCTCCACCTGTCATCACCGCAAGAATCGATGTGGCAGCGATGGAGAGCGGAACACGGCCCAATGTTCAAACTTTATCGAAGGCCTTCTCGTAATCGACGAAGGCCATGACAAGGGGCCGGTTGAGTTCGTGACACTTCTTCATTACCTGGTTCACCGTGTGGATACGGTCGATGGTCGAGAAACCGGTACGAAAGCCAGCCTGTTCAATAGGTTGCGCTTCGTCAAGCTCTCGGGTAAGACGGATGGTCAGAATTTTTGTAAAAAGTTTATAAATCTGAGAGAGCAAGCTAATCGGTCCGTATTTATTTAGTTTTTCAATATCGCCTTTTTGTGGATGATGGTGACGATGACATTCTTCCATTGCTCTGGTGTTCGAGCTTCATGAACTTTGTTGACAAATTACACAATCACTTACCACAGGATTGCCGCCTGCTTTGAGTAGTTCGACTGAAATACCACCATCTCCGGGGGATTTATCCGCCTTCATTTTGGATAGAGCATTTGTCACCTACCACGGGAAAATTGGAGGTAAGTTTTCCGTGGCAAAGTGTTCAATAGGCGGAGCCCGGGTATCGTCATCTGATAAATCCAGTTCTGCAGATGTAGATGCATATAAGCTCCTGTAATACTTCCACGATGATGGTAAGAATTTTTGCTCGATCAGTTATGTTATCTTTGTCTCTAAGTTTTGAAATTAGTTTTGTTCCAGAATTAGTTTTTCTACGAAATACTTTAGGGTCTGTATAGGTACTGTTTAATTGCGTCTATAATAATATTAGGGGTTAAAGTATGAAATTGCCGTTTTATTGCAATAGGTTCTTTGAATTTTCATAGAATCTTCATGGTTTGAGGTTTTCGAATGAAACTTTTTCAAATGGTTACTGTGATTTTTTTTTTTTTTAATTTGAAACATTTGAATATCGACTTTCAATTGTTTTTGTTATTCAATTTAGACAAGAAAGATGGATACTGCGAAAATTCGAGTGATTTTTGAATACGAGTTCCGACGCGGAACTAACGCGGCAGAAACAGCCCGCAATATCAATGCTGCGTTTGGAGAGGGGTCTACTAATGAACGCACCGTGCGATTTTGGTTTAAACGCTTTCGTGATGGAAATTTCGACTTAAAGAACGAGCCACGAGGAAGACCGCCCACACAGGTGAATAACGATGAATTAAGAGAGATAGTGGAAGCCGATCCTAGTCAAACTACCCAGGAATTAGCGGCATGGTTTAACGTTACCTTACCCACAATATTGACTCACTTGCGTCAAATCAATAAAATAAAAAAATACGAAAAATGGGTGCCTCATGATTTGACTGATCTGCAGAAAGAAACGCGTGTTGAAACTTGTGTTGCCTTGTTGAACCGGTACAGAAATGAAGGAATATTGGATCGAATTGTAACATGTGGTGAAAAGTGGATTCTTTATGATAACCGGAAAAGAAAAATGCAATGGCTGACCCCAGGTCAAATGCCACAACAGTGTCCTAAAGCAAAACTTACCAATAAAAAGGTAATGGTAACTGTTTGGTGGTCTCAGCATGGTGTTATTCACTATAGTTTTCTCCGATCTAGTCAAGCAATAACGGCAGATGTCTATTGTCCCGAACTCCGAACCATGTTAACAAAACTAGCAGTAAAACAGCCCCGACTCATGAATCGATCTTCACCATTATTGCTCCACGACAACGCGAGACCTCACACAGCACGAGAAACCATTTTGACCCTTCAGGAACTGCAGTTAGAAACCATTCGTCATCCTCCGTATTCACCAGACCTTGCTCCAACGGACTACCATTTTTTTCGTGATTTGGACAATTATCTACGTGACAAGAAGTTTTCTTCCCAGGAGGCAGTACAAAATGCTTTCACACAGTTTGTGCAGTCTAGATCGTCGGAGTTCTATCGCAAAGGCATTAATAACCTTCCCATTAGATGGCAGCAATGTATAGATAATAGTGGCAACTATTTTGATTAAATAAATTTGTTAAAAATTTAAAAAATAAACAATTTAGATTTTCAGTACAAATCGGCAATTTCATACTTTAACCCCTATTATTAGAGTTGTATCTCGCTTAATGGATTTATTTATTAATTTATTAATTTTATCTAGCTCCTTTTGTCTGCAGCAGATTGGTTAAGCAATTTTTTCTGTTTTCTATAAGGTCAAGGGCTTCCTTTGCAAGTTTATTGTTCTTCTTACGAGCGGTTCCCAGGTGTTTTTTCGCTGTCTCGTTAATAGTTCTATACAATAGCTGTGATCCACTTCAAGGTTGAACTCATTATGATCTTAGAATTTGTTTTTGAGACTTATTTGGAAGGAATCTTGGAGAGAGGCTACCTCTTTTTGATGGTGCTTTGATCACATATTTGTGGGAGCTTATTACGTAGTCAATTTTATTCCGAATTGTCCCATCAGGATGTACCCAAGTCCACTTTCTCGTCTCCCGCTTCTGAAAGAAGGTGTTCATGGCATAGAGCCCATTCATTTCTAGGAAGTTAACTAGAATCTGACCTCTGTTATTACGTACGCCGAGACCGAAGCCACCTACAGACCTTTCACTCACAATAGGCTAGCCAATTTTCGCGCAAATATCGCCGACAATGGCGGTATAATGGCATGATGTGTAAGCTAACGCTTTTTCTATGTCGTCATACAACTCTTCTACTTCTTCGTCTGGTGTGAAGGATGTTGGGGCGTACACCTGGTTTGGATGGAGTATCGTTTATTTAATTATACTACTAAGTAGCGAACGCTGGTGGATATACTCCCAACATCAACAATTTGATGTGTGATGTTTTTAGACACAAGGAATCCAAAACCTCCGAAGGTAGAATCGTCATGGCCCATGTAAAATAACAAATCATCTGAGGATAGGTTTATCAGCTCTTCACCAGCTCTTTTTAACTCTGAGAGTCCTAGGAGATCCCATTTAATCTTTTAACTCTAACTGTTGTTCAAAGAATCGGTCTTCTGTGCGAATCACCTTGGCGTTATAGCACGCCAAGGTCTGGGCCTTGGGTGTTTGGCTGCTGGGCATCGTCCAGCGATTCTTCGCACAGTATCCGCTGCCAGAAGCAGGAATAGCTGGGCTGCTGGGGACTGAGGGCCGTAGTGTATTAGCACTTATCATAACAATGGGAGGTTTAGCCCTAAAACGCCGCGCTGGCTAGTGTGTCTTGGCGAGTTTTGCGTCAGAAGTTCGTTCGTTGATCGGCAGGGGATACCGCGTACAGGTGAAGTTGAGTTGGGACCGAAAGATGTTATTTGGGCGCCCTTATGCGCCAATCCAAAGTTATAAGCGTGTTTTGCTGTTCACTGAAATAAGTTTATTCCGGCGGCACCATTTTTGAATCTCGAGGCCTACAGTTCGTAGCTTATAAAAAAATAGATCTGATTACACAGAAAAAGTCGTGAAGTAGCTGCTAGTTATTGAATACTAAACATCATTTAAAAAGTTTCACGATGGTTGTCGGTTTCCAATGATCTTATATATCTGTTACCCAAAATATGCATACAGTCTCCGATACTAACACTATAACCTTGAGATATATGCTGTATTTTTTAAACAAAGACTAACTGTAAAACTTTCTGACTAGCACAAACTAATTTACGACATTTTCTGGATGCAATCAGAACTAAGCTAGGAGCTGTAGTTCACGAGATACAAATATAAGCTTAGCGAGGACAGTAAAACATTGTCCTAACTTCAAAACGGCGTAACGACCAAATCTAGTTTTTTACGACTAAAACGGACTAAATCGCGACTTTTTTTAGTGAAATGAGTTCTAAACGAGATTGAGGAATGGTGCCGCTGAAGTAAGTTATACCAGTGTGGACAGTAAAACACCTTTATAATTTTTGAACGGCGCACAGACTAAGGGCGCGTTCCCATTATGTAGTAACCTTCTATTTATCGTTAGACGACTGTCGCGTCTAGCCTGTTCCCATATTACGGCTATCTGTCGTGGACATTTATTTTATTGTTGTACGACTGTCGTGTCTAGCTGTTCTCACTAGATCGTGACGACAATTTATTAGCTCACGGCAACCGCCTTGTCGTATTCACTATATAAGCTGAGATTATTTGTCGTCACATTTTTATCGTGACGTTTTATTTGTCGTCGAACGACTGCCGTTCTAGCTTTTCCCATTGTCAGGACAGTCTGTCGTCGTAACGTCAATAAAGTCGTGAACGACAGTTAATCGTGTTGTACACACGCCAGCACGTCAAGCTACACATTGACGTATCATGGTCCGTTGCATTGGAGGCGATTTTCGAACGAAAATGTGTAGTCTGATGTGCCGTTGTCCGTACATATGTGAACAACTTCATTTAAATATACAAGCTGCGACACTTTAAACTGCACGACTATTTGTCTTCACGACGTAATGGAACGCGCCTTTAATTTAGTTTTTTGCGACATACCTTCATGATATACGTACAATTGAACACAGGCGGCCCACTCACCCTCCCGCTTGTTGATAGGGTAACATACATATAATTATGGACCTAGATAGGGCAAAAGGGTAACTAATTATTCTGTGTAGGTAAGAAAACCAAGTGAAATTGGAACCTCTGCCATATTTCGGAAAAATAAATATTTATTCCCATTCCTGAGTCAGTAATAGATTATACGGCACCTGTTTGCTAATTTCGACTGATTTTCTAAGTTCTCTTATAATAAAAAGATTAACAGACTTTTTTATGTGCAAAATATCATTGCAGATTATATTAAGCTTTTTGCAAGTAAATAGAACTTAAAACTGGCTAATAAAGAGCTGACTAACGAATTTGTGACATAGCTTATCTTGGCGTCAAGTCAAATGAGCGGATAAACAATCAAGAGTTCTTTTTTCAACTTAGCAAATGTTTCATTTTTCATGTTTGTTTGGAAAATAAATGTTTAAATTTGCCCTTTTAGTTTAAATACTTTGGTTTACAGTAATTATGTTAGAATTATGTTAGTCTAGGTCTGATGTCGCAAGACGCTCTCGCTTATCTCCGATGGAGTGTGAGACGAGCGATAGTAAAAAATTATTTAAAGTTTTCGAATCAAAAAAGAAGAAATGTAGAAAAAAGCGCGAAGTTTTGGATGATTCTGTAAATTCGCAAGCCACCATGGAGTCGAACAGCGTAAGTACGACATCAGCAACAATTCTAACCCGGCTACGGCGAAGCGAGAGTTGAAGATTTTAGCACCGTACGTACTTACATATACTATGTGTATTTTCATATTATTCCGTCAAGACCGTTCACTACTTAACTGGTTTCAACGTACGAGGTATCAGTGACGAATGTTTGTCTTGATTTTTTGCGTGTTACAGACAAAATATTATTATAAATAGTTATCGGAGGGCATTATGCTTGTCAAATATATTGAAAAATTGATATATTGTCTCTGAAACATTGGAGCTTATTTTAATAATAATATTAGTTTATTTCAGCTTTTGTACGCAATTTATGATTATAGAGTTAGTTTTTTAACTTTATTTTTATGAATACATGTATTTACCTCTACACTAGTTTAAAATATTATTTGTTATATAAACATAATAACGTAGGATGTATATTCAAAGAAAACAACTGATTGGCATATACACTTCCGGACACATAATTCGAGCCACCACGCATTTTCAGTGTTAAGTTTAAACAATAAGCCCTAAGCTTAAACAATGTTTGATTGATCAACAATTGTATTAATTGTTGCAATTTTGAAACTTGTTTTTGTAATATCAAGTGACGAGGCGAACAAGTCGTGCGCATGATGATAAGCTACACGCCTGTCCATAACAGTTGCTGTGCCACTCAAGAGTTTTAAATCTCAAAGATCTGAGGGGCACTGCCACTGCGCCCGTCACCCTGAGACATAAGTTGACAAGTCCCATGTGCTTGTAATTTCACCAGCAAAGCGAGTACACTAAACGTCTTTTCCATAAGTCCTTGTTAGGAATTTGGATTTGCAAAACGGAGGGTAAACTTTTTCTTCGATTACAACACTATTTTTGTATTCTAGCTCTTAGAAATTTCTTTTTTAATTATGTGTCTGGGAGTATATTGATTCCAGTCGTTAGGTTGAAAGGCATATAATTATTGTTGAATAAGACTCTTTGAACACAGAAGGCCGTGCACTCCGTAAAGTCTGCTAAAGCGATCCTGACAAGTTCGCGAGATGAAACGCGGTCCGCCACCCATGCGCATGCCCAAAAAAGGTTATTGTACTTAATGTAATATTAAAGCGAAAACAATGTATTTTTCAGTCTAGTCAACGTGTATAACATAAAATTATACAAATTTCATAATTTTTTTGTTACATTCGTTTTGCATAATTGAATGACACATTTTTGATATTCCTGCAATTGTACGTAACGTGTGGTACATAAAAAACCGACCTCAAAAGTTCGTGGAATTACATCAGTTTGCCAAGTTTTATTGGAATCAGTTACCGGAAAGTGTGCGAATTGATCCGCTAGTTTGCCGCCCTTAGAGGTGGAATATTTTCTTCATATGTAAATGGGCCCACTACTGTATACTTTCTTTCCAACAAAAAAAAGAATCCCAAAATCGGTTCACAAACGCCGAAGCTAAAAAGAAAAGTACAGTCTTCAACAAAAAGTACAGAACTTCCTCCTTTTTTGAAGTTGGGTAAAAATAGTCCGCGTCTTATGTGTGGTATTGTCACAGTAGCTGTAAAATTGTTTCCCGTCTAGACAGGAATATAATCACGTCATTTCACTCCTTTTAGTTACTGGATCCTTTTGACTACAAACAATTATTGAGAATTGATTTTGTTCATGTAAGAAGAATATAATTTTTTTTAAATAACCAACCTACGCACTTGGTTCTTATTGCGTATTCTGTGCATCTACTTTTGGCTACACCGCAAAAGTTAAATGGTCAATTGCACTGAAAATCTCCAGTGTTCAATACAAACAAATATCAGTAAGAGTATCTATTGATTTCTATGAACATTAAACCATTTATAATCTATACTTTTCGAGATCAAGCAACGGCTGTTGTGGGAAATCAAAACAATTTAATTCGAGTTGTTTCGAGTAAGTAGTTCTTCTCGTACAATTTAGCTTGAATAGAATGACTGGTCGACAAAATTCGAATGACATTTTTATAGCAGCGTTCTGTAGATTGCTTTTTGGAAACGACGAAACCATTATACTAATAATAATAATTTCGCATTTAAAAATTTAAAATTAATCCTAGGCCATGGGAGAGGCGAGTCTAAAATATATCCAAAATTGTAATAATAAAAGTATTTCATTCAGAATATTAGTAAGTTTTATAATAAAGTGAAATGAAAATTATGTCCGGGCCGCAACTAATTCTTGTAAACATTGGGGAGTCCCACCGGTCTATAAACATTCAGGAGTCCGCTGGAGCTACCGCGGAGGCGGGTTAGAATTATTTTACTTTTTTACGTTCTGACTCTAATAATAATGATCATTGAAGTCTATAAATCACTTTTCGGTTAATTATTCTAAGATATTGTTATTGTTTTTTTGTTGCAATTACACACGATGAAGTTATGTCGGATGGAAAAAGTTTATGATGGGTCAATGGAAGGGACACCTAACAAATACAAAGTCGATGAAATCTTCTAGAAGGAAAATAAAAATTACTCGTTTGAGCTACACTTATTACTTTTGGTTAAATTTGTATTTTTGGTGATTTTTTATCTAATGTACTATCATTTACGTATGCTCGATTACGTTTTATGGTATTGGTGCGTAGGTCAATGTTTTATGGAAATTAAATTGATAATTAACTAGTAGTGGTGTCACGCATATTAAACATTATTCGTTGGGTAGAATCTATTGAGTTGATTTCAGACGTTACCAGCACAAAATTACACTTCAAATATCGCTCACTGAGAATGATAGCGTCACTACATAAAACTATTTTTTTTAATATTTTTAACGTCATCTTGGATTTGAGAGCACAAACTTAAAGTAACGCAAAAACCCCCGTGTAAATTGTTTGCTTAGAATTTGCTACATGACGTAAAGACGTTATGCTGTATAAGGGGAATGGGGCACAGGAGACAGCGCGATAGGCGATTAACACACTGCACCACGCCCCGCGACGGAGTGCGGAGCTGCGTTTTTTAACGTTGTACTGAAGCACCTCAGTTTGTATGGAAAATACGCACACGTCGAACACTTTGACAACGCTTTTCCGGCGCACGCGGTTTTACGCGGCGAACCATAGGGTATGGCACACTGGGCTCCGCACTACCGCGGAGATTTTTAATCAATTTGTGTCTATTCCAGTAATTTTCCATCGGATTATCCCTAACAAATAATCAAAGGATTCAGTTGACATACGTGTGTAGTTGAAAAATTAATCTTCATATTTTCTTAAATCTTTGTAATGAATTTGAATGTTATCTTCGGTGTCTTTTTATTTGAGTAAACAAAAACCAAATGGACAGTACTACTAGTAGTAGTACTACAGTAGTAACTGCAGCGTCCTGAATGAGTTCTGTATTATTAACCATTCTTGTCAAAGCAGGATCTCACTTACTTGTACAATCACTACGAAGCGAGTACTTTAAGTGGCGCGGGGCCGCTAGACCGCCGCCCCCGCGCAGATCTGCGTCTCCGCCACCGCGCGCGTGATTCCGCGTCTCCCACCGGACGCGTGATTCCGCGTCTCGCGCGGCGCGGTGCAGTGTGTTAATCGCCTTACTGACACTTTTGGCAGTGACATAGACCGCCGAGTTGTGAAACAGTTTACTAGTAACTCCGTGAAGGATATCGTAATTTTTTGGATAGTGTCGTTTTGCATTAAGACTAATATAGTACAGAATTGCTGAGGCAGATATACGCTGGAGTGGATAAGTTAAAGAGTAATTTAGCCCTTTATTTTCCAAGTCTGAAATTAAATTTCATGCCATAATTTGTTTTTATGAATTTATTGTTACGATATTGCACAATAAGAATTGTTATTTTACATGAAAAGATTATCAGGAATAGTGATACCAAACGAAATTCTCAAAAATACCTTTATTTTATTTTGGTAGATGAAAAATTTTATAATACCTACTTCTAGACATGAGCGCCGCGTCGGTGCGCCGCCGACGCCGCCGCCGCGTTTCCCCCTGCGCCGCCGCCGCCGACAACTTATCAGATCTGTTCAGATCAGTTCGATCAAGCGCTCCGACGGGCACGCTTCCTTACTGTGTGTGCTAGTGGAAATGGCGACGCCAGAAATTAACATTTCTAGGATAAAACTTAGTGATATTATATTCGAAGATGTTTTGTTCAAAACATTAATTTGTCAATCTCTGGCGTCGCCATACCATGCGTACGATCGGAGCGCCTGATCGAACTGATAAAAATTTGTTTAATGAAGTAAATGCTTTATCTTATTTTTCCTTTGAAAAAGGTTTTGTATAACGGCTTTTGTAAAAACCAATACCGCTACACAAATTCGTTTCTGGGTTGCGCTCGCGCCGCCGAAACGCCGCCGCCGCCGCCGGTTGGTCCATTATCAGCGCTCATATCTAAATACTTCTAAAACTATGTAGGTTCCCTTTTATTTTAGCTGAAAACCGCATTCAAAAAATCTTTGTTGGGTAAGAAATTGCAGTTATCACAATTTTCAGAACTCAGTTGCTCATTAATCAAAATAAAAAATTTCGCAATGTGTCACTGTCATTTATAGCGTGCAATGTGTCCAGTTGATAAATTTTAACATCAATTCTCGATTCCACTGAACGTGTCCACATTTACATGTGTCATTCTAGTCAAGCTAAATTTTACGGAGCATGGTGTTGATGATAATATCATAATATAATTACATTTATTTTATATTACTTTGTTATGAGGTTTCGTGTTAAATATAAAAATTTTGGTTCAGATAAAACGGTACACGAAAATTAAATGAGTTTCTACTGCTGTACCTACTCAATCCATACACGTGCCACTGTTGGGCACGACTTTTCTCTACGCAGAAAATTATTACTTACTAATTTTTTTCATTATAGCATACAAATTGATTTTATAGTATACAAACTATTGCATGTACGTGGGGCACACTATAGTTTCCGGAATGAATAAGAAAAAAATACTATAAATGATCAGCAATGAATTTATTGTTTCTCAAAATATTCTCCATTCGCGTTAATACACTTTTTCATACGAATGAACCGATTTTGAAAACATTTATGCCACTCCTCCGTGACAATCTCTGAAACATATTTTTCACACTCTTCTACAGCCTCTTCAGGTGATGAAAATCGTTGACCACGTAACTGGTTCTTAATTTTTGGAAATAAATAAAAGTCACAAGGTGCCAGGTCGGGACTGTACGTTGGATGCTCATAAGGTCAACGTTGTTCACCTTCAAAAATTCATTTGTCTGCTTGGCCGTGTGAGAACTGGCATTATCGTGGTGCAAGATGATACGGCGTTTACGGTTACTTTTACCGAGTTTGTCAATAACTTGCAGCAAACAAATGGTATGGTACAACGATTCTCCAAAGCAACAGTAGTCACGTGTCCAGTTTTATTAAAAAAAGAAGCAATCATCCGCTTAGATACACTTTGCACGCGTGCCACTTTGGTTGGTTTCGGCTCATTTCGAAAGCCCCATATGCTCGATTGCTGCTTTGTTTTGGAATCGTAACTATAATCCATGTTTCGTCACCTGATACTATGTCTCACACCAAATTTGACGCCCCTTCGTCGAACCTGGTAAGCATGGCATTGCACCAAGTGTCGCGATCCGTTTTTTGAGCCTCAGGCAAATTGTGTGGGATCAACCGAGAGCACAGCTTTTTCACACCCAAATGTTTGTGTAGTATTTGACTCATGCCTATGCCTAAAGATGCTCGAATCTCATGGTATGTTACACGTTAGTCTGTTTTGATCATAAGGCAAACAGCATCGATGTTTTTGTTGTTCACAGCAGTGGTCGGGCGACCATCACGAAATTCGTCACTGAGATTCACACAACCGTGTTTGAATTTTGCAAATCAGTTATAAATAGTCGCCTTGCATAGCGCTTCATCGCCAAGAGCAGTTTAAAGCCGAGCGAAGCTCCGCTGAGCTGTTAATTTACACCTAGGGTCGTATTCTAGAACTCTATTCAATGCTGAAGTAAAAAAAAAAAAAAGGATTGCACTGGAAACACAAGCACTGGAAATACGACCCTAATGGCAGGGACTTGAGTATGATTACGAGTGCTTTAAACCATACTCAAATCCTGGCTTGAGCATTGAGTGGATAGAGTTCTGGAATACGACCCTTAAAGTCTTAGAAAATCATACTACGAAAATTTTCATGAGTTAAATCCATGGTGATGTAGACAACCAATTGACCAACCAACCAACCAACTAATGACAGTCAGTTGAAACAAATTGTATTCTACAGCCAAAGAGTTCCATTTTCAAATGTTGTAATTACTTTTCAAATATTGTTTATGTAAGTTTTAAATATTGTTTATGTAACCAGTTCCGGAAACTTACAGTGCGCCCTATATACCTAGGTTTCATCCGGCTGGAGTCGTATCCAGACCATTCTACATAGGAGGCAAACGTCCTCGCAATTTGCCATGACTGGTTTGCATTTACCTGTATGTAAATCTGCTCTGAGAATGCAATATTATGTGGCGAAACAGGGATCGCGATAGCAGCCCGTCGGGCTCCCCTTGTCCTGTGATCGATGCACAACGTCTACGCTCCCCGAGACGCCATAGACGTTCACAGTGAGTGTTTATTTATAAGTAGCTATTTGTCGCCTCCTGGATGAGAGTATAACTTCTACAAATTCAGGATGTAGTTACCCTGTTTACATATGTGTTGTTTGTTGTATACATACGTTCGAACAAATCAAGTTACTCAGGTATATACATAAATATTATTATGTACTAGATACAGGATTTGCCCATCAGTTTAACTTAAATACCTTGTGTGTTCATAAGTTTGTGACGAACTTTGACTTAAAATTAAAACAAAATGATACTGACAGCTGTTTAATTCTTATTTTAATTTTGAATTTTTTGAATTTGTTGTATAAGTAAGTTTTTAAATTAATTTATATTATTTTTGTCGTGATAGGAGGGAACAAAACAGTTTCGTGCGACAGTAATTTCGCCAAAGTGGTTGCCCGCGGTCTGTAAGGACGACTGCGATACCAACATCAAAACAATTAGGGGAAGGTTGGGCAAGAAGGGCTTTTTAAGAAACTGAAAAGAAATTTAATGAATGAATTAAATATAACCAAGCACAACCTCTGGCTATGTATATTATAATTATGGCAAATAACACTCAAGTAATTAACACTCCAGAGCAACATCACTTAAAAAAAATGCCAAAAACCCGTTTTAGGGGATCGGTAAATCGGGTACTGGGGTACAGCGGGCAAAAAGAGTACAACATAATTTGAATTACATCCTAGTCAGGATTTCTGATTTCTCGATTTTGTTTTCTTCAGTTTCGAGAATTCTTGTACTCGATTTCTAGAGTTTCTCGAGTTGTTCGAGAAATTTTTAAAAATCTAACAGCTTAATCAGTTGTAAATTATCTTAAAAAAAAGAATTGATATCAACTTTTCTAAATGGTTTAGGTCTGTGAATTTTCGGTAGTGGCCCGGAGTGAATTCCGTGGTTCTTGGTCCCGGGTTCGATTCCCGTTAGGATCAATTTGGACAATTGATTTTTTTGAATTGGATCTGGTATGTAACCATAGTCTTGTAAGACAACCACCAAAGTTCCCGTTATTAGGGCTCGTGCAGCGTGCCGGCGATATTTCGCGACAGCGGTCGTAGCGACTTCTAACGTCGAAATACAGTGCAGTTTGCGGGCGACTAGAGACGAAATACTACCGGCGACCGACCGATAGCTTATTGAATTTTCGAAGAATTAACACACTTACAGGGAAAATGGATATAGTATGAAATAGTCTGTGACTCTCTGATCATATTGAACATTTTTCAGAGTTTTTGCAAAACTTGGCTATGTGGCCAAATCGCAGAACGTCGTCGTTTTCTCGCTTTTTTTCGATTTCGGTATATTTGCCAATCACAGGTCTAGAAAATGCGGGAAAACAACTATCTAAAAGTATTATTTTCTATTTTCTATAAATATTGTTTTTAAAAACGCGCCTTTCTCGCTCCTTTTTTCCTCGATCTACTGTTTTTTTGGTGCAATATCTTCCGATTTTTCCAGATTGGTCCTGGCAGTGTTGCCAGTCAGATCAGTCGTAGCAAGCGACTAGCGACGACTGATCGCTGCAAGTCTCACGATCAATGGTTGCCGGTCGCGGGCACGCTGAACGACGCCGTTCAGGTCTATGTCTTAAAACAACCGCAGTCGCGACATATCGCCGGCACGCTACACGAGTCCTTACAGCCCGACGTCACCGCTGACTACCTTTCAAACAAATATAACTTACTATTTAGAAGCTACGTGACACTTTATATTGCTCGCGGCGACACAAACGGCCAACGACAGGATGCGTCGAGCATCGCCGCGTTGCGAAATGCAGCTTTACTCTTTGTAAAAGAAATGTCTACTTTGTTTAGTAGAGAATATGTATACCAAGAAGCTGAGTTTTTGTTTTGGTACTAAACGCCATCTGTAATAAACATATTAAATTAAATAAAAAGTGTACCTACCCGTTTTGTCCGTACCCGTTTTGCCCTGAACCTCCCAATCGTAATAAAAAAATAAAAATAAAATAAAATAACTTACAGACTTCTGAAGGTGGTCCATATAAAAGTGTTAGTAAAACAAAATTAAAATCTTAAGGAACTAAGTGTTAGTATACAATAAAAAACCAAATGAAAAAATAAAAATATAAAATCAGAAACATTACGACCTTAATCCACGCCGGGAATTATTAACAAAATTCAATGTTTTGTTAATTAATGCACTCTTATCAGATAGCATACAGACCAAACGTTGTCATGGTATGCATTAATGTACAGTAAACTTTGCATAAATCATAAAAACCGCGCACACACCTTTCATTTATTTTAATTTTTTAGCGCAGAAATTTATAGAGGCTCCTGTTTACTCGGCTAACTTCTGCCGCTCCCCGTGGCGTACTTAATTGTTTGAGGGGGGAGTCCGCTAGCCTTACTCGTAATCATGGTGGCTTACTTATTTTTTGAATACTGATTATATTGAAAAACCCTTTTTGCCCACCATGATTTTGCACTTTATGCCCGCCGTGCCCCTACAGAGCTAAATCCAAGCTAAATACTTCGCCTAAATCCATGTCGTACGCAGACTAAAATTTCGCGTGGCGTGTTTCAGTCACCAGAATACGGAAATACGATTTCAAGTTTATTTATTCTTGCACTTGGGGAAACCCTGCATCGCGGGTGCCATAGACACACACATTGACCACCACAAATTACACCCAAACTCACGAGGGAAATAAATGTAGGCCATACACATATTTCTCCCGGCCTGGGAATCGAACCCAGGACCTCTGCGTGGCAGTCCAGCATGGTAACCGTTCAACCAAGGAGAAAGTTAGCAACACTTCACTTCGTAAATTACGACCCGAACGTTGTCCGAGCTTCTTAGGAGTCACTATGCGAAAAAGATACGCTTCACCGACGAAAAAATTTTCACGGCCGAAGCAAAGTTCTTCCGACAAAACAATACATTTTATACCAAAAGCAGCAAAGATGTTCTGCTTCAGTACAAAATGTTTCGCTTACCCATCAACCGGCGAGTGTGATGATATGGTTGGCGGTTTCGTATGAAGGTGTCACTCCGCCTCATATTTGCCAACAAGCCGTTTTAAATGCAAAAAATTATAAAAGTAACATTTTAAGTCTTTAAATTATTATATTGTATTAAAAACAGAACGGATTTTCCAGGAAAATTCGGCACCGACCCACAAGGCTAAAACGATTCAAGACTTAGTACCCAGAATTCTGCGAAGTCTAGACGTGAATAAAGCTAGCTCACACGCCTGTACCGCCTCTCACTTGAGACTGGTGTAGTTGCCAGGTCGTGGAAGCTTGCAAACGCGCAACCTGTGCCAAAAAAGGGAAGTAGAGCTGGTCAACTATAGACCTATCTCAGTCACTTCCATACTCTGCAAGATTATGGAACGTGTACTCAACAACCGTCTCCTATCGTACCTTGAAGACACCGACCTCCTCAGTGATCGCCATTACGGATTCTGACGAGGGCGATCTACTGGGGATCTTCTAGTGTATGCCTGTCACATATGGAGCGAGGCTATAGAAAAGCAAGGCGAAGCACTTGCAGTGTCTTTGGACATTTGTAAAGCCTTTGACAGAGTCTGCAACGCAAGCCTTAAGTAAGCTTCCCTTTTATGGCCTTCCCACTTACCTTTGCAATTGGATCTCGGATTTCTTGAGCGAACGTTCGATTCGAGTGGTCTTAGAAGGCTACTCTTCTGAACATATGGCGATAGATCAGACATATGGAGAGAGTTCCTCAGGGTTCCGTACTGTCTGCAACTCTCTTTCTGCTGCATATCAATGATATGTTAATTCCAGGTTCCTTTGCGTACGCTGATGACAGCACAGTTGTAGATAGGTACTTGACCAATGCAAGGGAGAGGAAATCCAGTCTTGATGAGAGTCCGTGGTCCATGGCCGTTTGGATTTGACATTCAAGGCAGTCTCCGATTGGGGCGATGCCAATCTTGTCAAATTTAATGCTACCAAAACGCAGGCGTGTTTATTCTGTACAAAAGGGAGTCCCTTTGAGCTGACTCCGACTTTTCGTGATATATCCATACTATTCCATACCGATAGCCGACTGTCTCCAGCTACTTGGAATGGAGCTGTCGTCCAATTTGAACTTCGGCAGATACATTGAATCCATGGGCAAAAATGCAGCAAGGAAGCTCTAGGTCCTTTCCAGGGTGAGGCGTTCCTTTACACCGGGACAGGTTCAGCTGTACCAAGCACAAGTCCGATCGTGCATGGAGTACTGCTGCCACCTTTGGGATGGGTCTGCTACATATCAACTGGCCACTTTGGATTCAATTGACAACCGTGTCGAGAGGCTTGTAGGTGACTCTGAATTAGTGGACACGAAGCTGCAGAGCCTTGAACACCGCCGTAAAGTTGCCTGCTTATCGGTATTTTACAAGATATATCACGGAGAGTGTGCGATGGAATTACAGGATTTAATTCCGCTTTCCTCTTTCCATCACCGGGGGACTAGGCGTAGGCTTGGATTTCCATTCCTATGTTGTGGACATTCCAAAGATTCGCACGAAGCGTTACTCTTCCACGTTTGTTTGGCGAACGGCCTAGGAGTGGAATTCCCTGCCTGCAGACTTGTTCCCTGAACGTTATAACTTGGGTCTTTTCAACGCGAGAGTGAATAGGCATTATTTAAGTGCGCATGCTCCATCGTCAATCTCATCGTCACTTTCCATCAGGTGAGATGGAGGTCAAATGCGCACTAATATTTTATTAAAAAAAGAGCCAGATGGGATTCCAGTAATAGTCCAGCGTAACTGTGCGCCAAACTTCGTCATGTTGAGATATAATTGCTGGTAGTTGTTGGTTAGTGCCTACTTATCATTATATGAACAATTTAAAAATAAGTAAGTATAACTTAAATTTTTATGTAACTAACTTCGTCTCAAAACTTATGAACACACGAAGTATAATGGCCATGAGGCATAATTTACCAATTTCTGGCAACATAAACAGTGTCATTAGTGAATAAGGAGTATTATATATAGGGCCTTATTAGCATTTGTCTTCTATTCAGGTAAGCTTATTTAAAATGACTATCTGAACAGGTACAAAGCAGTGTAGACTTAATTCAATGTATATTAGAAATTTCTGTTACTACTCAGGAAAGAAGGACTATCTTTAGCGCTCAAGGCCGGACTAGTCTCTACACCTAGATCGATTTCTCCACAGCAGGTAAGAAACTGAAGTATAGTAACGCCACACGCTCCATAATTAAGTGATTTCGGAGAGAAACAGTATGTTTGGGAAATTGACAAAATAAACAAAAATATGTGCGAATTGAAACTTATATGGCCGCCCTTACACAACAAACATACTGCTATGCAGAATACTGCGATTGTGAACGACCGGAGCAAACGAAATTTAACGTGATGAAAGCGACCGTCTTCTATCACATCTTCGTATGAATTGTTTTGACGTTTGTCCAAAATCGTATTCTGCTATACTGCGTTATTGTATAAAGGCAGCGATACATCATTCTTCATATCACATATACGTAGTACATACCATACATATATATGGCTGGTGCTATTTTTAAATCTATTTCGCAAAATTCCCAAAAAACGTTTCTGGTGCTATTTTGAAATCTATTTCGTAAATTTCCCAAAAAAAATTTTCGGAGTATAAGTCACTTTATTATTGAAGGATATCCCTTTTTTTTTTTAAATAAATAATAGTTTCGGAAACACAAATGAAATTGTGTAGATAAAATGAGTTACTGAATAAAAAAACCACAGAATATACTGACAAAATGAATTTTATTTGGCTAACAATCAAAACTTGTTGAAACTGCAATTATACGATAGAAAAAAACTACTTCCAAATGATATGTATGTATACTAAACTTCTGAAAAAATAGTAACTTACCGAAAACACACATTCTACGACGCCAGCCGTTTTGACAACATTTTTTATCAAGCTTTGGTTTGATGAAGGTTATCATTACAAAACATTTTATGAATGGCATCCGCCTTTCTGGATGGATTGGATTATGATCGACATAGGTTAGAAGTGTAAGATTTCATGTTTATAAACGCGGAAGTCTTTCTGGACATAAATTAATTTCTTTCGCTAATACTCATTTCCAAACTTCCCCGTCCGCTTAGTGTCATATTACATCATTTTTCAATATGTATAATTATTATACATAACTATTGATAACAATAAAATTTTGTTATTGTTATTTTATTATTAAGGACTAACAACAGCCAACTTAAATACATCTTACAACGTATAATATTTGTCTTAAATTACTTAGGCCAAAGTAGTTATCCACAATGACATACATTTTGAGGCCTTAGAAACGAACAGAACAAACCAAAATTAGTAGTTACCTTAAAGAATTTTAAATTTTATTTTAATTAATGTCTACGATAACTTATTTGTCGTGATGGGTTACATATATTAATACTTAAGAGGGAGCATGCCAAAAAAGTTTTGACGTTGGCTCCGCCCAAATTTGTGAAACAAATATCTGAAGTTCACGTGACATGCGACAGGAGATGTTGAATTTTGCGCATTAAAAGTACCAAATTCGTTTTAGCGGAATAACTCTAAAACTAAAGGGATTAAAAAAAAATCCGTAGTGACAGTTGTCGATCATGCATAAATATAATTAATTATCTAATTTTTGTCCTAATAACCTGTAGCATACGAGGATAAATAATTTCGTGATTTTTATCTATCGAGGAAACTTTATTGTTTTGTTTCTGATTAGTGTCTATGCTTGAATATATCGTGTAGTTACTCATACAATATTTTATTTTTAACTTTAAAGTGGATATGCCCCTCTGAAATCAAATCGAAGATTAGGAATTTTTCCTCTGCTCCCTCTTAAGATATAACTAATGATATATGATATATCATCGATAACTTGTATTTATATAATATATAAAATAAAATAAAAAACAAAACTTTTAATTAGTTTAAATTAGTTACTAAAACATTTAGAAAACGTGTGCAGATTATGCAACGTGTATGAGACTAGTGATAGATGTGAAAAGTTTAAAAGTATGCATGACAAAACCCAAATTCCGATCCGGTAAGGTCTATTAACTATATTATCAATATGAAGGGAGAATTACATTTTACAATCTAGCAATACGCCGAGATCTCTTATTGATTGTACTCTTTCCAGTACATGATCGATGATTTTATATTTAAATGATTCACGTGTCTCGTGACATCTTTTCGATAAGAGGGAAACTGCTGCGAATTATAATAATTTCATTCTTCAGTTGCGCTTGATCATTTTGACGTTGTTTTATAATGTTGTCTTTCACGGCAACTTTTTGTTTTAAATCTTTAACCTCGTCTATGATGAAATCTGTAGTTTTAATGAATTCTTCCTGCAGTTCATTAATTAATTTACTCATTTCGCCAGTAGTCAAATTTTTTACTTCTTGAATTAAGATATTACGAGAGTTAATCATTATGCTGGACGTCGGAGCCAATTTTTGGTCTGTAACATGCTGATACTTTCAATTGTTAAGTGCGTATTAGGTGTTGATTTGGTAACAGATGGCGAGAGAACTGCAGGAGATTCATTTCCTCACTTCCTACGTCATGTACGAAGTGTCGACATTCGTTCATGACGGCATTTTAGTGAACTAGCGGGTCTGGATCAAGATTTTTTGTTTTTTTATCCACACCAAAGTTTAGGCATTCTAAGCAATAGTGAGAATTACACGTATTGCACCTTAATGAGTTGTTGTCATCTTGCCTTCCATTATTACCAGGGATCGGAATAGGTAGAGTTTTTTCGAAGAACATAGACAGAAAATGGAGACGACCTTACGACAATATCTTTTAGGTCTAGACCTTTAAGAGATTCGGGAAATCACTTAAGAATATTAAAAACTGACGTAATTGGGAACAGGTACTATATTTATCTTAACTTTGCTACGCACAGTGGAGCGGACCTGCGATATTGCGGACATTGGATTTTTTCACGATACCTCTTAAAAAAAATTGGCAATCGAGAGATCTCATTGTCCTAATTAAATATTGTCATATCACATTTTGCCATAAATGTAATAGTTTAGTAGGAAAAAAATAAAATGTGTATTTTTTGTATGGGACCAAACCTTTGCTCCATCGTTACAAAGTCTTAGTCGATCCAGTCTTGAAATCACTACAGACGTATTACTAGACCTATTTTTTATAGATAAAGGATAAGGATAAAACCTGTTTAGTGTTTACCCTCTCTTCTTGCGTAGTACACGTGACACCAATCTCACAATCGGTTTCATTTTAAACTAAATAAGTTCTATTTTGTTTGTTGTAAATGTTGGACACCACATTCCATACACTTACCACTGTTTATATGTATCAAAATCATTATTTAAGTATTCTATACATATAACTGAACACATAATACATATTATTGACAGTATGCATAAGAATGTCTATTTATAGAGTCGGGCTGTATTGTGTTACCAACTCAAGGGGAAGGCGCTGGAAAACACAACATTACTTGGACTCCGAATTATTTTCGACTAGCACACATATTAGCAGCACACATTATAAATATTTAATAATGACTGATACGTAGTACTACGTATAATTACGTAGGCATAATTGAATATTATAGCTATTTTTTTATATGAATCATGATGCAGAGCGCAACCACGCTTACTATTAAAATTTATGAACATGAGTATAGCAGTTCTGTGCAGGATGTGGTCTAGGTTTATATTAATTATTATTTATATTAATTGGTTTATTTAGTATCAGTTTTGACGAAGACCTCAGTGGCCTAACGGTTTGCACTGTGGGTGCCGAATGAGAAGGTCGATTCTTGTCATGTGGACGTGTTTCACCTGAAATTGATGGTCATGCTGAGAGTATTATTTCGAATGCAATTTCTGGAAATTTTCTACGAAGTTTCAGGCAATTTAAGAAATTTTAAAATATTCAAACCAAAATGGGCTTCCCTCTTATTCAATCAAATTGGTCATTAAATTTATGGACAACTTTTTATGTAAATTTCGGAATCAGAAAACGTTCTGGCGATGTTCGTCTGTATACGTCGTTACGTACAGCGTCTCCGCAACTAGTGGTAAAGTGTATTGACCTTACGAAGTCGGCCATTCTAAGGACGGTGTCTAAGCAGGGACGATACACAGATTGTTTTATTTTGTATTCTTTTAGGAAGTCGGCGCTTTAGAGTCAGTTGAATTACTTAATATGAGATAGTGAAATAATATTTTACATCAATGTTACATTAATTAAACTTTTTTATTACGACTTCACATAGAATTATTTATAATAGTAGTACTGCGTAAATATAAGTTATCCAAAGTTAAGGTGAAACAGAATTCTTTTCATGAATTAAATATTTAATCTGGTTTAATATTTTTGGTGGTATATTCATTATTAACCTATTCGTAATAATGCTAATTAATAAATAAGTTAATAATATAACTTCTACATGTTTAATTTGTGAATGTCATCCTCTGGTATATTGTCTTGTTGTAATGTCGTTCGAAGTAGCTATATTCATGAAGCATTTTCTTCTAAATAAACGTCAATATATTCCCATTCTGTATTTATAACCACAAATCTTGAAGTAGTGCATAAAACGCAACAAAACGTGAAAACAATCAAACACTACTAACTCATTTAAATACATTAAGCGGACCAGTGTGGACACTTAACTACAAGTCGCATCTCTTCCACTAACGCTCAAGTGAAGACCCTTCGATACCAGCCTGTATGTTCATTAGCGCTGCACGCCCCGCGCCGTTCCGAATTCGTTCCATATACGAGAACATTCAAGTAGAAATCTCGAGACTGAGTTCAGATGTCGCTTGTGCAGATCGAGTATATAACCAGAAATAGAGACGACATAAGGGCCATGTATTCCTGGTAACACATTAGCGATACAGCTCTTATAAATATCAACTCCCGTTTGCACTGAATTAGAGACAGCCCAACTACTGACCTGTGTGTACGTCTCCGTATATTCCAAAAAAATATTCTGTATTTATTGTAATAAAGATAATATCTCTAACAATGCCGTGCTGTTCTATAATCTATCGATGGTGTGGAAAAAACAGCAAAACATGTAATTACATAACAAACGGAATCACATTTCATAGGTAATTCAATATTAAATATGTCATTTTGCAATTTTCGTCCATTATAGCAAAGCTCAAGTTAACTGGTCGTTTTGAAGTGAAACAGTTGAAACCCATTGACGACACCCGTCAATTGTATCGAACTCGGGCTGGCCAATCGGAGCGCAGTTGTCACAGTAATGATATGGCAGAATAGTTTTTTGTATTTCGTCTCTATTTCTGATTATATTACTCGATACTTGTGCATTAATTCCGGTACGAACGAAGAAGAAAATAGGAACATAGCTTGTACACAAGTGTTACGGAGTTCTTAGTTTTTAACATCTTTTTGTGTGTTCGCAGTGAATACCATCTATATCTATGGTGAATACAGAGAGAGAAGTAAAAAGTCGACTTTTTGTTTACGAAAAGAAATAACGAATAATTGTGATTTCTGCAACAGTAGCAGCATCGCCGGCATCACCTAGACTTTATTATTACTACTATTTGCCCTTTCAATCTCCGTTAACTTTTGACACGATGACGCAGAAGCAATAAAAAGTTTTGGGTACTCTTTCTCCCGTTAAATTGACTTCTTAGAGAAACTTTTTAATAATTACGAAAAATTAGTTATTACTGATGTCGACTTTAATTCCATATCCGTTATATCAGTTCCGAATTCGTCATTTGTTGGCTTCGGAACTGATGGAATCGGACGCAGCGTGCAAACTCTCTTAGTTGGCAATTTTTAAAACGACAGTTATTTTTTAATTCAATTTCTATAGAATAAAAAAGAAGAATAATTTAATTCATATAGTTAATTTCACAGTATTACTACTTATGACCATCACTAAAATAAACAATAATAATTAATATAAAACTAAAAAATACTGCAACTAAAAAAAAATTATAAATACAAAATGTAGTCGAAATACAACAGCATCAACTAAAAATAAATGTACAATTACTTCGAAATAAATTCTACGTATACTCGTTTAGTTCTTTTTTATAGTTCTGATTTGTACATAATGTTTTGTGTAGGTTGAAGAAATGATGAACGAAAGCGTACCGCAGGACCAAGATTCTTTTATATACGCTTTTCTTGAAGAAGCTATCAAGAAGGATAAAAAATGGTAAGCAGAAGCTGATTTTATGACCTCGCTATGTTTTCTCAGTCGTCACGGCGTTGGTGATTGGGGGAAAAATCTGCTTGTAAACAGCTTACTACATAAATTAATCTTATATAGGTACTTAACCAAAATTATTAAACCAATGGACAACCTGTTTGAGCTTATTTCCATCTTAGTAATAATCACTTAAAAAACATCACTGGTTACATCTATTAATGCCGCCAAAAGCTATTGTGACGACTGAGAATAGACCAAATTAAGTGCTGTACTTACCTATTATCTACCCGCTATTAAGCTCAATTTATTCGGGTCCTTTTCAGGTTATGTTCTCTAATTTCGATGTTATCGTGATAATTCTTTTTAATAACATTGTAGAATATTTAAATAATAAAATTGCCACCAAGATTAGGTAGAGGAAATAAACCTGAAATTCTGTTGTAGCATTTATAAATTAATGTGTTTTGTCTCTTTATTTTTCTATTTTATCTAACTACATATCTACACCGGCTCAAAACAGGAATGAAACGTGAAAATGTAAAATACTGCTACTAACATTTACATTGAAATAAATAATAATTAGACAATAAAGTTAACATTTTTTAACATCCATATAGATTTTGTGTTCAATCAGAAACGGTTGAAAATTTAAAAATTGTAACATTAATAAAATGAATAGTGTTACAGTGTGTTAACGTTAATTAAGTGATAAACTTTTTCAAAAAATTTACATAGGCGCAAAATCAATCTCGTACCATTGGATAAAAATGTATTAGGGCGCGTTCCCACTATGTCGTGACGACAGATTGTCGTGCAGTTTACAGTGTCGTGGCTTATATATTTAAATGAACTTGTTCACATATAGCACGACACGATTAACTGTCGTTCACGATTTCTTATCGTTACAACGACAAACTGTCGTCACAGTGGGAATAGCTAGAACGACAGTCGTCTGACGATAAAAAAAGTCACGATAAAAACGTGACGACAGATTGTCGCAGCTCCTATTGTCGTCACGTTTTATTTATCGCTGTCCGCACATATTCTGCTCCCTGCCGTCCACTCTCGTTCCCCGCGCGCTCTGCTCGCTTTGCAGTAGCGTTGGGTCGTATCCAGAGATGGGCAAGGAGGCTGTCGTGAAACGATAAATTGTCGTCACGATCTAGTGGGAACAGGCTAGACACGACAGTCGCCCAACGATAATAAAACGTGACGACATAGTGGGAACACGCCCTTAGCGGGAAATGAAAAGAAATGAATGAAAAAAATTACAGCATGCTTTTTTTTATCAAATAAATTATACCTGAAATAAAAAAAAAGTAATATAACATAGTTTGCACTATGTTCCGCTAAATGTGCTGTGTATATTTCTAATAGAAGATTGTTGCTCGAGAGATCTCTCAAAGTTGGTATCCCAAAGATAAATCTGCGAACAACACATTTGGAGGATTTTCTTGCATTAATTAATTTGTTAATTAATGTAACTTAAGCAGGCAAAAGCACGCCCGCAGACACGAAGAGCGTCGCTCAAGTCATGATTGCGAGCCATCGGCACATGATCACCGCCACCACCATCACAGGCGGCGTAGGGACGCCAGCGACGTTCCAGCTCTCAGGTGCCGCTATGTATTATTTCAAGCGAGGGCACAGAGGCTCTTCTATATAGTTCTCACCGGTTTCTAAAGTTATTCATTCGAAGTCACCCATCGGCCTTGGTAACCGGTTTGGTAGACTATCCTTGAGGAGAACTGTGACCAGCATTGTGATACGATTGTGTTCAAACCTTCGAATATATCTGGGGGCAGAAAAGGATCTTACTGTTTTTTGAATTGTAATTTATGATAGTAATAATCCCAAAAAAAGTGTGGTTATCCACTCTCGTTACCTGGTCTCAAACTAGGAAATTTCCTGTGTTATGAGTACCAGAGAAACAGAATTCACTCGGGGTCATTAACCCAAAACACTTAAACCAATTTAGAAAGTTCATTTCCCCAATTGGAACCGAACCTGGGACCTTCTATCCAACGCTGACACAGTGCAAATCGTAAGGCCATCGACGTCGTTATGTATATTATTAAATTAGAATTAATAGAATAAACATTTTATAAGTTCTGACATACTGTGTAGGTACAATAATAACAATATTTGTAGAGACGAGAAGGAAGTTTTGAAAAAAGCCATTGATCAGTCGTTGCTCCTGGAGACCTTTGCCAAATTGTGTATTCAAATGAACGAAAAAGTCACGGCTACTTCGCAGATACCCATCGTTGATGCGGTAAGCAAGTTTATATTATTCGTATTGTTTTTCTGGTATCCCATTAATTTTGCGTAACCCTTGTATTGATCAGATGCGAACACAAAGCCACAAGTCACTTCAATGTGAGGTCCAACCAAAGAGGGATGTTTATGACATCGATCAACGGCCAACGAAACTACGGAACCAAGAAATTTTGCAAGACAATATTCCCACGTCTATGTCGAGGAGTCAAGACAACATTCATGAACGACCACGATCTAATAAGCGAAGTCCTATTAGCAGGTCGCCCTCTGCTGTAGAGCGAAAGGACAAATATTTTAGTGGTCAATATCTGCGTGAAAATGCAAAGTACTCTAGCAAATTTGACTTAGCCATGTCAAGAACGCGTATGGCGGATGAAAGATATCGTCAATACTTAGCTAACCCTGATAAGACCAGACCTGACCACGATTACGAACACAGATACCGAGGTCAAGATTTCGATCACAGATACCGAGTTCAAGATGTCGACCGTAGGGAGTGTAGGGAATACGACGATCGTAGAATCGTTCCTACCAGAGATAGAAGAAATTATGGTGAACATCATTGCGAACAGAAAACTAGTAGAAGTTTCGACATGCACAGAGACTATGTTAATGATGAAAGGAATCGAAGAACATCTAGAAGTGACTCACACAGACGGCGTTTTGAAGATTCTCGGGATCTTAGGGTCCAGCAAGATAAACGCTACGAAGAGCCACGAGAATTTAGAGATTCCAGAGAGAAGAAGTTTGACGATCATCGTGAGAAATATTGCGACGCAAAGTACGGCCACGAATTTAAGGAGCGGCACCACAGTAATGTACCTAGTCGGGATCGGAGATCGCGAAGGAATGTAGATCGCTGTGATAGGAACTCCGTCGTCTCTAGAGACGACGATTACAACCGAGAAAGGGATCGGTACTCGGACCGCGAGAAAGACTCTGGCTTAAGTGTAGCCGATGGTGACACCAGCACTGTAAGCGGCCGAAGTAACTATTTAAAAGTTGTCAAAGTAAGAACGTTGGCTATCTCCATACATTTTAACTATTCGATTTTTCATTTTTCATAATTAATGCTTTATTACATATTTGTAGCAAGAGATCGCCGAACAAAGAGAGGCCATGGATAAAATGATGAAGCTATGGAAAGAGTTGATGAGATGTTTTAAAGGTATCTCGCTAAACCAGGGTCAAGAGAAATCCGTTCAGGTTGGGAAAACATTATCTCCTAATACTGTATAAATAAATAAATAATTAAATATTAACATCGTTTCGGTAAGACTGATTTGTTCATTTCTTAGGATTCGGCAGCACACATGCAAGAGTCGGCAGCGGCGCAGCTTCGTCTTTGGCGCGAATGCATGAGACGATACGAAACAGTCGCAAGAGACGTTGGTGACACCGACGCGAGGCTTATGGTTATAAATACTTATAATATGGATACATTAACGATTGTGCATGTCATTTATAGGTGCTGGACGTGGTAATGGTAATCTGTAACCATGATATGTCCCTTTTTAGGAGGAGATCAATAAGCAACGTTCCGAGATGGCGGAGATGGCCAATATGTGGCAGGAGTGCCTACAGCGCTACAGGGACATGAGCTGCGATTTTAACAATCTGAAACAAAAGGTACCGGCTGACATTATAATATTAAGAGATAATTGTTCTATATTTAGTGTTTGTAAATGTACATATCTATTAAAAAGATTTTATGAAATAAAGTCAAAATAGATACGACAAATTTTTCGAGCGAATAGTGGACTGTTACCGCCAGGCCGGTGCCTCACGGAAAAAAAAATTGCTGGGAACCTACCACAGCCTTTAGCCCCTTGGTAGCTGTCTAGACACAATGGACGGTGTGGGGTGGATCAATCGTAACTTCTTTTACTTTACTCCGCTGTCTTAGCGACTTAAAATGTGTCGCGGCATTCGAAACGAGATGAAGCCACTTTCTTCGGTCCTGTGCAATCTCTCGCCAAATGGCTTGATCGCAACTCCGAACCAAATAATATAAAATATTAATGTATTTCCATCTGAAATTAACCAGTCAAGAATTTCACATACACACGACTAATATAACTAATGTAATTACGTTAAGGATATCGACAACAACTACATAAAATAAATTTTGTGGAACTGACAACCCTACAAATGTCATTTAACTTCGTCTCCAAAAAATTATTTTATGGAAAGAAAGGGTATTGGCACCGCAAGGACTGCGATTGCTTGCCGGGAAATGCGTCAAGCGCTCAACTGACTGGAAAGCCAGTTGTAGCCTAACGCACTTGCCTTGGCCGAAGGGACACCGATGTGAAGAACAGTTTTGTTTCCATACAAAATGTTTCCTCAAAATTTCCATCGATATCGGTGTTACTCATCCAGACTTTATGAATGTAAGCAACATATCGTTCAGGGGAAAAACTGTTTTACCCCCCTTTTCTATTGGGACTTCTTTGTCCCAGTAGTTTTATAATAGGAGTAGTCGGTAGAACTAGTGGGAACGTAGGTTTTAAAGTTATTGTAACTCTAAGAGTGGTTACACACGGCGACCTTCAGCAGCGACGCACTTACTTTTGCGATTTGTAGGCGATTGTATCGATGCAGTCACGCGTTTGCATCGCTGCTTAAAATCGCGCGCATGTGTAAAGGTAGACGATTAGCGATTGCATCGTGTTTGTATCGCTGTTAAACGTTATGATCACATTTGATCAGGGTTACCTTAAATTAGGTTTGCACGGTTCTCTTTTTCCTTAGTACTGGCAAAATATAAATGTATAGATTTAGTACAATGGATACTAAATCCATGGTCGTACGAGTGAAATTACGATATAAGATTTAGTAAGTTCGACGTGTCCATTTTTACAAATCTATAATTTTTATCGACTTTTAAGTTTTCACTATGAAACTATTTTTCCGGAATTTTCGTAATGTAATAATATTATTTATGTATGCTCCATACTAGGTGTTTGGAAAATAAAAACATAGATAAAATATAAAAACCAAATAACCCATAGTAGTAATAATATTATTATTATTAGCATTAAATATATTAAGTAGTGCAAAAACGTTTCCGCTTTTGATATGGCGAATCGTAGCTTCATATCATGTTAAGAAATCCGCAACATTGGAAATAAGCCTTTTTTATAAAGGATTAATGAAGAGTTTGCCCATCGATCTATTTCCATATTTGTTGTCCTTAGTAACTTGAAAGCTGATTAAACTTGATTGAATTTTACATCCACTTGTACAGCTAGCTACGTCGGAGAGCCCCACTCGTTTGCCCGCCGCGTCTGTGGTCTGCCCAGAGGGAGAGGGCGCCATGCCCTCCTCGCCCTATCGTCTGCCTCCCAATTACCCGCCGCCGGTATTAATCCTAATTTATATAACGTTCCTGCAATTCGCGTTTTTAAAGCATATTTGTGAAAAAATAAACCTAAGCGTTTATTAAATTGTTGCTGCTGCAGACTACTGCTTCGCCGTACTTTTACTCATTTGTTTTTATACGTTGAGAGCTATTGTTTATGAAGACGTTATTATTTATGATAATGCCTTTACAAAGATTCCAAAATCCTAAACTCAAATTTGAATAAAGTCTACTCTACTCACTTTCAAGTGCTTTTGCCCAAGTTTTTAACCACGTCGTCATGCGCAGCCGATGCCACCGTTGGGAGGGTACGGCAACATGGGGCCTGGAGGTGGTGGACTTCTGCGGCCTCGATCCTCGATGCCGCCGGCGTGGTGGTGGTGTGGGGATCCGCAGCTGCCACCGCCGCAGCGTCGACGCTCCTCGCCCGAGTCGCGGGAGTCACCTAGGGCCTCGCGGTCACGCGAACGTCGGCATAGACGTAAAGACCGAGGTACTTTAGTTCATTATTTCAGCACTGTCCATCCACCGTTGCTCCTGAGTTCACAATTTTTGTTTATTTTGCATGTTAATGATGACAACGACACGAACAAAGAGACGCCCTTCTAAGCCACTGTTTATCACTGTTTTAGCCCACAATGTAATCACCTATTCCGAATATGGCATAGGGAGATGTAGGATGACAGGTTCAATCAATTCAATTAAATTGTGCGTCCGCTTCGACAGAGACAAATAGTTTTTGTATTTCACAGATTTAGTTCATATACTGTTTTTACAGTCACAAATTTCACAGACAACTCTGGTTTTAATTACAATTGATATAAAATTTTATCCGTCGTCTTCCATTTTAACAAGTTTCCAAACTACAGTTTTTTTAATGCACCTTGTGCAACAAACAGAAACACTTTCACTCAGTTCCCCTTTTTTTATTAGTTCTACTTTTTTATTATTAATTGCACTGAGACCAAAATAAACTTTATTTTGTGGGTCATTTTTAATTATTTATTTTGTTGTATTGAGTTACATCTCATACACGCTCGCATTGAACGGACTAAGTTTCCTCGTTTCACTGCACATATTTTTTCGTAAGATCTCTCTCTGTTTCACAGTAATTTCGTATTTATATTATTATTTAAAACGTCAATGAATTTTCTGTTCTTATTTGGTAATTATTATGAAAAGTTTATAAAATGAGTTTACTTGATGGAAGTTGCCGACAGCAGCTGCGTGCAAATGAATTGCAGCGTATTCACATGTTCGCTATGGATTGAGCCTACTGTTACGCTCATACTTCATCTAGAAACGTCACACTAAATACCTTCCCAGGGCGCTATCCACTGAGATGCTATTTATTCTTTCTTTGTGCGCAGTTCATGGTAGGTTATGCCCGCTCCTTCTTCTCTTCCGTCTTCTCAAAGTTACTGCGGACAAACAATTGTCCGCAGTAACATTCACTTCACAGACTTGTATTGCATATTTAGCACAAATCCACTTTGTCTTACTCATAGAACGCCCTATAGGAAATCACACTGACCAATCGTACGGTTTTAATCATTGATTACGACAATGTCTGTTGACAATACGAAAGCGAAAGAACATTGTTGACATCGCACATTAAATGTACCTAGGGTATTAAAAAAAACTATTGTTATTTGTAGATGAGCCGAGGTATAAAGAAAAGACGTCGTCGAAGGCGAATGCCGCGCGCTCTGATCATAAACACAGGAAAAGGTGAAAACGCCTACACGTGCTAAAAAATCTTATTCATGTTTGTTACAAATTACTTTGCTCGAACCTTTTGATTACATGACTGAAGCAAATCGAAATTTTAGTAAGCCTTTGTTCATAAAATTAATGAGTTCCTTAAAATTCCTAAAATGTTATACATTTAGAAGCAAGGTAAAACAATGTGCCAAATCATCTAGTCACAACAGACTTATTTGATAGTGTTTTGTATCCTTTGGAAAGTTTTACTTGTTTTCGCTTGAATAGAAATAAAGATAACAAAATCATTGGGTTGTTTTAATTCACGTTTATTTCCAAATAGACTTGGGTTTATAATTTTAAAATTAACCCCTGGTTTCCTTTCTAAATACTACATTACATGTTTGACACTTGTCGCAGATTATTCAGTTGACTTACACGCCTAGCGCTTTATCTGCTTCTTAATATAATACCTACGATAATACTAAAATTAAGTACACATTGAGAAAAATACTAAACCTAGATTAAATGCAGTCGAATGGAAAGTTAGGTTACCTAGGCGTTTTTTTGTTTGTCCAACCTAAATCACATCGAAATCGTGGCTTACATATTACATATCACAATAATCAATCTGGTAGAATACCATGTACAGTTAATGGCCAGGTAAACTACTTTTCGACTGGCGTAAATGATGACAATCATTGTCATATATTTAATACATAGACAAAGAGATAAAAATACTACGGAATACAGTGATAAAATGTTATGAGCTGAATATGAATAAGCTCGGAATTTTTTGAGGAGATTGACATAACGGCATCCTAGTCCTGTTTCGTAGTAGAGGTGCACACTGTTTCCGAAATCTCCCAAAGCTTGTCTGCAGCTCGTTGGTCGTACGCATATCGGCACTGCCAGGTCTCCTTGCATTCGGCAAAGTACTTTCCGCTCACTTTGGTCAGTTCCGGGGCCACGCAGAGATGGATGATCGTTTGCGCTCCTTGAAGAGAGTTCCTGAAAATCATCCTTATTATGAACTTGACAAAAAAGTTCCTTCCTTTCACCATATTCGTGCTTATCATGCCAGGGTGGAGGCTATTTGCAGTTACTCCGGTTCCTCTCAATTTTTGACTCAGTTTGTTCGAAAATAGCAAGTTCGCCAGTTTCGTGTTAGCATACACCTTCGAATGTTCAATAAAATGAGTTGCGCGTCTGCTGAATTTGTCGAAATGCATTCTCCCAACCCAGTGCATCACCGAAGAAACGACTACGACTCTACTTGGCCTAGATTTCTTCAATAACGGAAGCAGCATCATTGTTAGAAGGAAGGGCCCGTAATGGTTGATTTGAACTTCGATCGGCAAATTATCTTCTGTCAAAGAGTTGTCCAGTTTTCCGACCTCCACGTTGTGAACGAGGACGTCAAGCCTACGTTCCGTCCTCAGAATGTCGTTTGCGAAATTTCGAACGCAGTCAAAGGATGCCAAGTCTAAGTATTTGATGTCGACAGTATCCTTTGAGGTTTCTGCTATGATTTTGTCTCGCGCTAGAATACCTTTGGCGGGGTCGTGACACGCGATTATGACCCTGGCACCGCGCATTACCAAATTTTTGGCGGCCTCGTATCCGATATCATCGTGGGCGCCTGTGATGATAATGGTTTTATTATCCATTCGCTCTTTGCAGCGACATTTTCCGCATTTCATGTATTGAACGAATCGGAAAATCAAATAAAAGAAGAACGCACTGTATAGCAGCATGGCAGTGACACTCATGATGATTTTTAAATCTGCAGTAGTTGTTGTAGTTTAGTATACTACTAGGCTGTAGTTCAGTTTTAATTTCTGTGCGTTAAAAATTACGAATGGTACAGCCGGTGCTGTTGCAGTCTGTAGTTGTAAATGAGATTATCGACGTACTCGAAAATGAAATGAGAAAATTTCAAAGAAATAACTATTTCGTATGAATAAACGAACATCATAAACGTGAAGAATATAGGCCACGTCGTCGCGTGATCCTGGTCGCGGACGATCCGGGCCGGCGACAGCTTGAAACGCCGGTAAGCGACCGGAGGCGCAACTCGTAGAGGGGAAAATCTAGAATCGACTGCCGGACTTAAAGTGCGTTGCTGCCTATGGGAGCAGGACACAGCACCAGTGCGCCTGTCTGAGAATGGCGTCTCTCCGATCTGGCGCGATGTGATTGGTTGCAACTTAGACAACTATCGATTAGACGGTCCGCCCATTAGCCATATGAACTCGTATTTATCTATTGCTTATATCTAGATATAGGATACACCTTTACAAGCGACAATCAAAACAGAATATTTCCTTTGTCTCGAATGGGTTTGCCCAGTTTAATTGGCTTTGAATACTAATTTGTTTTGAATGCAATGACTCCATTAAAGAAATAACGATAATTAATTAAATTGGGAAGAACTGTAATTTATGCATGTGTTCATGTTTAGATATAAGTATATAGGTAACATTGATTGTTTTGAAATGGTTTGGTTAACGTGACTTGTTGCTTTTTATAAAACTCTACAATGGTGAGTTTAGTGACGTAGCTTGATTATGAACCTTTCTGCGAAAGCCTTACTCTGCGATAAACATTCAGGAAATAACTTGGCACTACGATATGTGTTATATTGTAGTTTAACTGCAAACGTTAACCCTCCTGCCAATGGCGGTGGTGGGAGAACGATTGGTTCTCAATCGAAAGGCACGTTCGGTGTTTTGCAGAAAGGACGAAAGCGCTATTTCTAAATTTTTTTCAGGAGAGCATGTATTAGGTTGTAATTCTGTCTTAAAATATTTACGTCCTGTTTGACAATTCAATTTTGGTTTTAAGTTTTAAAATTTGATTTAAAACTGGACGTAAATATTTTTAGACTGGCAAAACCTTATAAAAAATCCTTCAAACAATTTTCAAAATGGCGCTTTTGCCCTTTCTATAAAACACCGACGATTTTTTTATGTTTAAAAAGAACAACGTTGTGAAATCTGCACGTCCAAGAAGGATCACACCACTTCGAAAACGTGTGAAGTCCCAACCCGCATTAGGCCAGCTTTGCGGACTAAGATCTGATCGCTCATCAACCAGGCCGAACGAATCTTCCACGTAGTATTTTGTTTTATCATTTTTTTTAAAACATGAAGCGACGGACCGAATAAGTCGTGCGCCTGATGGTAAGCTACACGTCTGTCCATAAAAGTTACAGTGCCACTCAGAGCTTTAAATTGCAAAGATCTGAGGGGCACTACCACTGCGCCCGTCATCCTGAGACATAAGTTGACAAGTCCCATGTGCCTGTAATTTCACCATAGTCGTTCTTTATCATATATATTTTTTTTTATATTGGGTAACCATTGCATAATAAGCCGGGTTCTCACGATCGAGTTGTAATCATCAAGCTTAAGAGTTATACTCTTTTCGGTGGAGCCTCTTTCAGTCATCTCCTACAAGCCAGCTCCTTAACTTCCTTATACGACACGACACCGGCCTTTTCCTTTATTTGATCTATGTAACTGGGCCTAGGTCGACCTCGTTGCATGTCATGTTACCAAAAATCATAGTGTGTACGTGGTTCGCGAGCTTGCTGCGAGCGGACCGCGTGCGGTTCGCAGTGAGCCGACGATAACGATGTACTCATTCTAGCGAATGAAAACTGTTTTAAGCGTAAACGCTGTAACTTTACGTTACAGTTACAGCTCGCTAATGAGTACCCGGCTTTACGTTACCCAAAAATAAAAGTTTGTACGTGGTTCGCGAGTTTGTTGCGAGCGGAACACGTGCGGTTTGCAATGAGCCGACGATAAGTAGATACTCATTCTAGCGAGTGAAGACTATTTCACGTGTACACACTAGAACTTCGTTACTCTGTTACGTTACAGATACAGAGGCTTTAAGTTACCCAAATACATGCGTGTTTCGCGAGTTCGTTGTGAGCGAAACGCGTGCGGTTCGCAGTGAGCCGACGATAGTCAGGTAGTCATTGTAGCAAGTGAAGACTATTTAACGCATACACACTAGATTACTGTATCTGTCATGTTACAGTTACAGCGTTAATGAGTACCCGGCGACAAATCGCGAACAGCTCGCGTGCCCTTCGCAAACAGACGCATTTGCTAGAGGCCTGAGTGTAAATTAGTAAATACAGTAGGTATATCTGGGCCCATTTATAACTATGCTCAATATTCAAAAGTAGTTAAACGAATGCTAAATTTATTATTATTATAAAAAAAAAAATAAAACAAAAAGAATACATTAGTTACCTTACAACAATACAAGAAGTGATCTCTTAAAAGTAGGGACACCGCAGTTAAAAATATCACAATCAGAGCATATTTCGTTGTAATACCCACATATCCTGTACAGCGGGTTATTTTGTGATACATTATTTTTGTACGCGGTATAGTGTATAATCGTTGATTCCGCATAGTCCGAGTCCGAATTCTGAACATCAACATCTCTAGTAAGCCACCATCAGACAGTCCATTGCCAATTTTGTGTAATTGTGTAATAATGAGAATCAGGAAACTAACCTGGATCTTCAAAACACTGAGATATGTCGTACCGAATAGAGGCGCTGATATGGCAGTTAACGTGGTCTCTACTAGGGATCTTCTTAAACAGATCTATGTTTCTCTTGTGGAGTCTATTATTACATACTGCATTCCGGTCTGGGGTGGTGCAGCTAAGTCAAAATTTATTGAAATAGAACGAGCTCAACGTGGTTTGATCAAAATGATGTATTTTAAAAAAAGAATTTACTCCACAGAAAAATTGTATAAACTGACAAAGCTGACTTCTGTTAGAAAACTCTATATACTCTACACAGTAATAAAACAACATAAAAATTTACTATATAAACCTAGGGTTACAGGTAGAAGAACATATCATAAAATTGCATTAGTACCAAAAATAAAAACTACTGCGGCTAGTAGACAGTACAAATACAGGGCCTCATATCTGTATAACACTCTTAACAAAGAACTTGATATATACAACAAAATAGTTTATGACTGCAAATTAGCCATTACAAAATGGCTCGAAACTAAGTCGTATGAGGAGATTGAGCAATTACTACTAGTTTGAAATAAATAAATAAATATATAAATAAATAAGTAAACATAAAAGCGAGGTATTAGTTGATATAATATAATATATATAGTAATTAAATGAAATCAAAACTGAACAGAAATATGTGCGCTCACACACACACACACACACACACACACACACACACACACACACACAC